ATCAGATTCAGAAATAAATTATTAATCCCAGGGGGAAAGTCGGTTGTTACAGTTGCACACACAATATAACAGTAGGAAATATAGAAACACATTGACAATATAAAATAAAAGAATAAGCAGTAAGTACCACGTTAGAGTAATAATAAGCTATGTACAAAGCGCAGGAATTAAAGATATAAACAATATTTACAAATATAACACTGCTGTGTTAAACTGTAAATGTTGTAGGTTTATGAATTAGGCTCAATATGGACATGAAGTTGACTGCTTTAATTTAAACTACTTAACCCCAAGTTGCTCCCGCTGCATTGTTGGCGGGGTGTGAATGTGTATTTATGGGATAGTGAAGGTCACTCTACATAGCAACCTCTGCCATCAGTGTGTGAATGGGTTGACATGACCTGTGGTGTGAACAGTCCCATTGAGTAGTCAGAAGACTAGAAAAGTGCAATACAAGCTCAAGTACTTTTACCAAATGATATCACTGCATTGACATTGTTATACTAAGGTAGGAACAGGTTGAGAGCACAGGCATCCTTGAACTTTAAATTACATATCAACTTGAAAGCAGCTATAACTGTATTCAAGTTAACCCGAAAGTTTGCATGAAATCAAATGCATGTTTTCGTTTTTTTTACACTGTATTTTTTGCTGAATGTCACCTTCATTTTAGTATTTGGCCCAAATGACCAAAAACTTTTTTCCAGGTCTCCTTGTTAAGATGTAAGTGTAAGCTATTTCCTGTTTAAAATAAAAAAAAATGTTGGTGACAGATCCTACACTCAGAGATCTGCAATTACTTAGCATCTAATTAATCACTTTCTGGAATATGTCCCTACCTCATGACACTCAGGACCTTTGAGTTAGCTAGTAATTAGTGATCACAATGATTATGTTAAAAGTTCACATGTTTGATGCTTTTGGCTAATATAAACACTAATCAATGACCTCAGCGAGATGCTTTTTAGAAAAAAAGTAAAAATGCATGTATAAAAACTTAAAATAGCACTTTGTGAGCCAATTTAGAAGTATGAATGAAATTACAACTTAATCTATCATCAGTGACTATTTGAAATTCTCAACGTATGAAAAGCCAAGATGTGATTTGTGATAAATGAGCAGGTGGGGTTAACTCTCGCTAAAAGAAAAGTAGTTGTCTATTAAACACTACGACCTCTTTACCTGTCTTCTTTAAGTTGTATTTCTGCACCCCTGCCACAGAGAATATTACACGTTTAATAACACACATATGTCCCTCTAAACAGACAAAGACAACCTCTTCGTTCCCTCTGCCATCCACTTTGAGATCGTGTACCTGCGCCCGGACCGGCCAGCTGTGGTGCCCTGTCGTGTGACTGACCCACAGGCCAAGGTGACCCTGCACAGAGAAGTCCCTCCAGAAGAGATCACATCCAACGGGACGCTTCTGACCTATGACCCCACCAAGGGTTTCATCCTGCAGAGCCCCAGTCTGGAGCATCAGGGAGTCTTCTACTGCAAGGCTGTTGCCAGGGGGACGCCTCAGATCTCCACAAAGTATCAGCTGCTCTATGTGGAAGGTTGGGACAACTTTAATGTGGATTATAAATACAATAACATCCTGCTCAGAGATCAGTAAACATTATCCTCTGCCTTTTAATGCTTTAATGCTGCTTAGTCGCAAAAATCTTGGTTGTTAACACAAATGCCTCAACAACAATGATAAACTGTTGTGATTTAGCCTGCCCCATAATCTGTCTGAAATGGACAGGGGTGAGTCACGTCTGTCAAAGTGGATACATCAGAAACACACAGATTCATCCACTTGCCAGGATAGCTAACTATCTCCTGTCAACAGTTCAGGTTAGCTAACAAAATTTCCCAAGTTAGCTAACTGTCTCCTGTTAACATTTTCCAGGTTAGCTAACTAACTCCCGTTAACATTTTCCAGGTTAGCTAACTGTCTCCTGTTAACATTTTCCAGGATAGCTAACTGTCTCCTGTCAACAGTTCCCAGTGGGCCACCGTTTGTGAGTCTCCAAGCGTTTCCGCAGTCTGTGAGGGGCGGTGACAGTGTCAATGTTACGTGCACCGTGCTTGGGGAGCCAGAGGTGGATGTGAGTTTCAGCTGGTCTTATCCTGGTCAGGTAAGAGGAATACTTGGTCTATAAACCCAAAGTCAACAATGACTACAAACAACAGCCGGCAGTATTTATTTATTTGTTTTTATTGAGGCAGGTTAATAGCAAAACAACATAGAGCAGAAATCACAAGAATGGAGAGAGGCATGTGAAAACATTTAAAAACAGGAACTACAAAAATTATTAGGGAATCTGGACAATTTCAGTTCCTGCTGTAGGCTTTGCAAAGGTGAGGGGGCAGAGTGGTAGAAAGCTGGATTTCCACTTTCTTTACAGGCTGAGGGGGCGTAAAGAGAAATGATGCCTGAGAGGGCAGGCCATAGCAGCAGTGTTTATGTTTATAAGATGTGTAGGCAGCAGATCAAGGATGCATCTAAAAATGAAGTCCCCAGCTCCTGCAGCCACATGTCCAATGTGTCCTTGGGCAAGACACCCAAGTTGCTCCTGCTGCTTCGTCGGCGGAGTGTTAATGTGTATGAATGGATTAGTTACTTCTGATGGACACTCTACATAGCAGCCTCTACTTTCAGTGCGTGAATGTGTAGGTGTGACCTGTGGTGTAAAAGCGCTTTGAGTAGTCAGAAGGATAGAAAAATGCTACACAAGCTCAAGTCCATTCACCATTTACACTGTCAACTTCATAGTAAATACACTATAGCACTATTTTTTACAAAGACGAGTAAAACTAAATAATGAATTGAAGAAAGTGATCAAAAAATTCTAGAAAAGTTGTTTATAATAAAAGACAAATGATGACAGGAAGTAATTATTGATCATCAGCTTTTAAATGAAAATTAAATGTTTTTCTAACACAAAGATTTCATAGCAATAGAGAAAGTAAATGCAATTAGTCATAGTATAGTAAAATTAACAATTAATCATTAATCAGATGCTTTAAGAATATACAAGTACTCGGGTGGTAGTTTCCAGACTTCCACTGTAGCATCTTAATAATAATTTATTGATCCCGTGAGGGGAAATTCATTTTTACACTCTGTCTAGTGAACATGCTACACAAACATAGGCCGAAATACACACACATGCACAAACAGGATCCTATGGACATGCACTAAAGGAGAGGTCTCACAGTGAGAGGCCTGTCCCAGTGGGCTATCTGAATTGGTGGAGGGGTTTGATGCCTTACTCAAGGGCACCTCTGTGGTGCTCAGGAGGTGGACTGGAATTTCTGGACTTGGTCTGTACCAGGACTTGAACCGGTAACCCTCCGATTCCCAACCCAAGTCCCTACAGACTGAGATACTGCTGCTCTTCTGTAATGTAGTAGCTTTATATCTCTGCATTTTAGAGAATCATTTAGGACACATTCTTTGTGGTTAACTAACCCTTGTTAATTATCAGTCCTTTCCCCGCTCTGTTTGTTCCTTGCTCATATGTTTTTGATTGTGTAGGGCCGCCGACCGGTTCACATCCAGACCTCGTGGCGGCTGGTGAACAGAGGTATGAGCCACACCACGCGGGTCTCCCAGAGCATCATGACTGTAGAGGACATGGAGACCATTGACTTTGGAAACTACGTTTGTAAAGCAAAGAACCAGAATGGCCAGACAATCCTGTCAACCAACGTCATCTCCGATTAGCCCCAGCGACATGGCCTGTGTAAAGCTTATGCTTGGTATGAGCTTGGTGTTGAGACAAACGTGTAACCAGATGACTTCAAAATGTATATACCAAAAATATGTGTATTTTAAAATTTGCAGATTCTCATACATAATAAAGATTTGCTACAGATTTTGCTTTTTTTTTATTGAGGATTTTATTTTCAAAACCAGGTGTATGTCTGCAGTAGGCAGTAGACTCTCATCACAGGACGCGACTAACTGACAGGTTAATGCAACTATGTAAAACACTAGAAGTCAAGGTGCCGCATAGCCAAGCGGTTATGTCGTGCCTCCAATGTACTAAGTCCTCATTGAAGCAGCTGTGGGTTTGAATCTGACCATGGCCCTTTGTTGCATCCCATACCTCATTGTCTCCTTCAAACATCATCATCAGGCCCAAAAAGATAACCAAAAAAAAGCCACCAGTCAAACATAAATACAGTATTTGGGGTGTTTCACTGATTTTGTAGTTTTCACTTCACTCTGAACTAAACAGTGACCGAACAGAAGCTTGAATAGTGCCGAGATGTCACACTTCCTCCTCCTGGATTTGTGTTATGAGGATTCATTTTGCTGCAGGACACTGAGCCCAAACATGAAAACAATCCATCTGAATTCAAAAAGAGAAGCGTGACGTGCAGACCTGCAGGGCTTTTTCATCCACAGTTACAAGACCTTAAAATCTATTAAACATCTTTGAGAAAATCTGATAAGAAAATAACAAGAAGCCCAAACAGTTTCATTACATGTCACAAGATTTTCTGCTGGAGTGTGGGCTAATTTTAGTTTTTAAAAGATAAGAAACAAAATGATCCCGACACATTGGACACCTCAAACATCAGAGTTATCGTTGTTATCTCAATGATACATTTAAATGTAATAATGCTGAAGACAGATCAGCCACCATCAGACACTTGCTCTGGAGCTCGTTGTAAAGAGAAGAATCTGATTTTAAAATGTGTGCCAGGCGGGCTCCCTAATGCTCTCCATATGTGGAATGTCATCTGAAGGCCCAGAACTTATTTGGGTCCAGTGTAACAATTTTCTGAAATTTCCACTTTGTTGAATAGTTGCATGTTGTTATATTTTAGGATAGTAATTAGAATATGACTGTTTGCAGTTTAGAGTTCATTTACATCTCCATGTTGGACTGATACCAGCTGACTTCATGTTTTCCAGGAACAGGGGAAAACTGCAGTCCTCTCATTGTCAGCCATACAGGTTTCATCAGCAGTGATCAAGTCAAAAATTATAAACATGATAAGGTTTAATACAAGACTTTATTAATTGCATATTTCAAAATAAGATCAACACACAACGAAGGACAATTCCACGCAAACTTTAAAGCTACATTGAAAGGGTTAAGTGAGGGGCGATAAAACTCAAACACATGCACAAAGACTTGGATTGGTCCCATAGTTGAACACAAAATAATAAACTGAAAGACAAAACATGTTTGAGGCCACAGATGATGCTCAAATTGAAAACTCAGATGTAAAATATTCTAACATTTGACAAAAAATTGCGAACATAGATTTAGATTTTCACGGCGCTGCTGCAGTAACGAGCAGCTGAGTACTTGGATAATTCGTCTGTCCCTTTGCACAGATAGATATGAGAAATGGTGCAAGAGTCCATATTTCAGAAAGATAGAACAGAGGAGAAAGATAATCATCTGTATTCATGGCTGTGATGTCCTCTCTCCAACATATACATATATATAGATATATATTATTTCACTGTGTATTTTTTACTGCATGTACTATGTGCGTAAAAACAAGCCTCTGCAAAAATGAACAAGTAACAAAAATAGTGTCATCATTTCATACAAGTCCTGAGATTTCCTTTTCCCCATCCATTGTAGGAGATGTTAAAGGCAAAGAACAAGGTCACCGTGCTTTTTAAGTGCTTCTGTGCAACATTTTGTTTTTTTTTACAGTCTGTAGCGTCTCACTATGCAAAGTTTCAAGAGTTCATCCAAGCCTGAAGGAGCCAAGGTCAGGCTGCTGCGATGCTAAAAGGAAACAAACATGGCTCTAAATTCCAGAGGGATAACTCAAAAGAGAGGGTCTGCTTGCTGGAAGCAGGGGCCCATCGTTATCTGGGAGAGACAGGAGGGCTGGAGAACACGCCGGAGCTGCGAGGGGATTGGAGGCTGAAGGAGTGGGAAGGTGAGGACGAGGTGGGGGACATCTTGCGGGGGCTACTCAGGTCCCCATTATGGAGTTTCCATATCAGCTCCTCGTTCTCCATTGACAAGCGCTTGTTCACCTTGGACTCCTTCTGAAGGGTTTCCTGCAGCACTGCCTGCTCTGTTGACAGCTGTCTGTAATGCAACAGCAGAAAACAGGAACATGAGAAAAACTCACACGGACACATGATAACAGACATGAAGATATTCAATCAGTCGACTGAAGCCCCCACCTACATCAAATGACTCAACTGGTGTCAGTCAGCTTTAAAGAAATAATCAAAATGAATGCATCTATAAATTAAAACTATGTTTACAGAGAAAGTTTTGGAATACATTATAGAACAATCTGGGAACTTATTTTTTAACAAACCCTGTAAAATACAGAAATGATCAACACCATTATGCTGTCTTACTTCCAAAGCCTTTTTGTCTCAAACATATTGTTTACTGATGAAGATCGGACTCTCATCACTTAATAAAATAGCTTTTCGTTTCAATAAAAAAAATTAAAAAACCTTTGTGACAGGCACAGTGTTTTTTCATGTTACTGGGCTGCAGTACGTCACACGGTGTAAGGATGTGGCCTGTGTATGTTTTGAAAAATAACTGAGGTCTGTTGGCACACAGGAGTATGGCTTAATTGAACGCAGGTGTAAGAGAGTTCAGTAAGCAGAAATCCTCCTGATAAAATGGATTGATAGTGTGATGCTTTATAGTGTGGTTTCCACATACAGTATGAGCTCTTACCTCGACAGTGCAGCATGTCTATCCATGCGGGCTTTCAGGTCCTCATTCTCCTGCTGGACCTTTTTCAGGCTCTCATCCAGCTTCACATTTTTCTCTTTCTGAACAGAGTAACACAAACAGAATGATTGAGTGGTGTCAGTTGATATCAGTAGCCGTTCTTGTTCTGATGGCCAGTAATTCTTTTCCACGTGTCTCACCAGTTTTTCGACCTCCATCAGCTTCTTCTCCTGCTGGTGGAGCTGCTTGTTTTTGATGTCCAACACCACTTTAAGGCTTTCTAGTTCCTGCTCCAGATACAGGGTGTGGGAGTCTTTCTGCAGGGACAAACAACATGAGCCAAGATGTTCTGACAGTTTAAAAAAAAAAAAAAAAAAAAAAAAAAACCCATGTCATCCAGCTTTGTAAATGTCATGTGGCCACAAAGCTCCAACACACAACAGAGGGCGCCATGCAGCAGTAACAAAAGATTAATTGAACTCATTGATGTCATTTTCCTCTCGTCATGTTTGAAGCCTACACATTCAAAACAGGCCAATAAAGGTTTTTTTTAACTCATCATGGTAATTAAGTTACTCTAAGATTTAGAAAAAGCTTTTTATAAGTCATATTATTGATTGTAAATTCATTATTATGGTTTTAATAATCTAACTGTTAATAACATATGAAGGTGTAGGTTAGCAGCTTATCATGTGCCAAGGCATAATGAACACTGACTGGATGAGGACAGGCAGCCTCACTGTACAACTGCACTCTGGGGTGTTACAATCCCCATGAGGGGAGGGGCAGAGCTACACCTCACACAGACATGTTGCTCAGTTAACTCCCCTCCTGTTAACATCATTTAGCAAGGTACAGAAGTCAATGTTTAATCTAAGTGATAACTCTTTCACATGATGTCTTTGAAGAAAGCAGGGCTTCTGTTGCTCATCTATCTTTCTATTAATCATTGCCCTTCAGACTGCTGAGGAGGAAACCCTGGTGTCATGGGATGTTTCTGAGAGAAGCTATAATAAGAACACAGATAAGAGTACCTGACACTTTTCAGCCAGCTTTTTCCTCCTGTTTTCCTCTGCAGTTAGCTTCTCAATGAGAGCATTGTTCTCCACAGTTAGCTCCTTAATCTTCCCCTGTGGTTGTAAAAGCACGACAAAGTTACTGAGTACATTTGTTTACACTCTGGTTCAGCCACCCACAACTTATCCCTGTGCCATGCTTTTCTTTGGTTTTGTGATTTTTAAAGAAGAAGTTAAATAAAACTCATGCTTACAGATAAAACTGCTTCTGCATCTTTCAGTGTTTTATCCAGAGACTGCAGCTCCTGGCCGTGGACGTTGATAAGCTCTGAGGAGTGGACAGGAGTAATAGCATCAGAAATATGTCTGAAAATGTTGAATGTAGCACTGGTCATTCATGCATTTGTAAACTGATGTAGAATATCAACTCTAAATCACATCAAGCCAAATTAAAAATGCAGCTTCAGAGATGTGGTGTTGTTTCATTGTGCTGGTCTCTCACCTTCCAGGGACGTCTCATACTGCCCTTTTACACACTGAAGCTCTTCTGCATGGTTTTTCTCTCGTTCCAGCTGAATGGTTTCATGATTGGCTTTAAGCTCTCCCATCTTTAAAGGAACAAAGTACAGACTTATTTACAGCTTCAGAATGATTTATCTTAAAACAGTTTTACACAAAGCATCAAATGTAGATTTGGACAGTTAGGGTTAGTTAGACTCTTATAATAAAAAAAGAAACCAGACATTTGAAAAAATGTCCCAGATGTCCCATTTTCTTTTTTAAGATTTATTTTAGGCTTTTTTTATGCCTTTAATGGAGAGATAGGACAGTGGACAGAGTCGGAAATCAGGGAGAGAGAGAGAGTGGGGAATGACATGCAGGAAAGGAGCCACAGGTAGGATTGGAACCTGGGCTGCCCGCTTGGAGGACCAAAGCCTCCATACATGCCACTACGCCACCAGTGCCCCATGACGTCCCATTTTCTTTATTTTAACAAAAGGAGGGCCACACAATCATATTGAAAAGGTGTTGTAGGCACAAACCTGCTGTTGCATGAGAGTCTTGCACTTGTCTGCCTCCTCCTGGTAGGTGAGGTGGACCTTGTCCCACTCGGCCTGGTAGAAGGTCTGGAGTCTGTGCTCCAGCTCAGCCAGGTCCTTCTGGTGCTGCTCCTGCAGTTTGAGCAGTGCGTCCTCCAGAGCAATGCGCAGCTCATCTTTCTCCTTCTCCAGACGTTCAGATGAATGAACGGAGCAGACTTGAAGTCAAATAAAGAGTTATTATTTTTACTTTATGAAGGGACATCTGCATGATGTTCAGGGACTGAATGCAGTGAAATATTCATTAAAATAGGGCGGAGGAAAATCTGTGTTGAGTAATTGCTGGTAAAATAATAATGATATGTCCTGTGAGACCCTTGGTTAGACAAAGTTCTACCTTTCTGTGTCACACTAAATGTTCTCCACAAAGGAATGGAAAAACTGACTTGAGAGGAGCAGTTCCTCTGGCATTTGACTGCATATGCCAACTACACTGCAGTTATTTCTCGGCAGATGAAGAAATGGTGACACATGTTGAAATCACTAACACAGGCAATAGGTTTTTTTTTTTTTTTTTTTAAACTAGGCTGATTTCTCCGTCCTTTCCTAGCTAACAACCGTAACTATTTCACAACTTTTTCCATCATCAAGTGTTCTTGGTGTGTGTGACAGCATCCGGCACCATAACCTATCTCCAGTTGAAGTGCTTGTTCTCAAACACGGCTGATATCCAGCAGCTGGCATTGCTAAGCGATGTGAAGTGATGCCGATGGTCTGTCGATGTTTAGCAGGTGATTTTATTAGAAAGGCTGACCTCAAATACAAAAACTCCTACACAAAACTTCAGACTGTGTTTAACTTCAGCGGTGGGCGTAAAATAATACCCAACCCAGATGTGCACTATGGAAAGAACAATTTCCCCATTCATAGCTCGAGCAAACCAGGCCCTAAGGTGCTGTGGGTAAAATAAAGGAGCCATGAGAGCAACATGTAGCATGCTGCATTTACGTCACTCTGAAGTCTATGTAGGTTGGGATGGCAACTTGAGCTCTATGTTGTCAAAATGTCTCAAACTGTGTCAGACAGAGTGTTTTCCTGTTACTGTATTGATTTAAATGCAGTCCCAGAGTCTGTGCTTTTGCAGGAGAACAGTGAGCAACAGTATGAGGGGAATAACTCTGCAGAGCATGAGCCTAAAGATTCACCTTACCAAGGCTGGAAAAACAGCAACAGATCCAGGAACAGAGGCCAAGCCAACATAGGGACTATCTATCAGGCTTTGGCATGTACAGCTTAACAAACGGAGGCCAGCACTCCACAACCATGTGTAACAGAGATCTGGTCATGTGAGCCTTTCCAGGCCAAATCCACCCGACAAAAACATCTCTTGGCACATCCAGAGGAGAAGGGCCCAGTTAATCTAAAGTTAGCTGTCATTTGGCTCACAGTCAAGAGGCTGGCAACGCTGCAGATATGCAGCTGTTGAAAAGTGCAGGTCTGCCTTAATGTAATATTTTATGTGAGGAATGTTAACAAACTGGGTGTGGTTGCATCACAATTTGGGCTGTGACTCAATACATTTCTGCAGTATGAGGAAAATGTGTGTGGTAGCAGACAGAGACAGGTGCTATGGATTATCTCTACTCTGTGTAAGAGAATAAACTAAAAGTGAAATCAAAACATCTTTTACTTCACAAAAAGGTCAATCTGAGGTCAGTGCAGGTCTCAAAGCTCACTTAAGTGAAGAATGTGTTAAGCACAGATATCACAGCGCTCAGCATGTAAGAGCAGTCATGTGGAAGTCCCGAGGCTGTGAAGGCGCTGGTGTGGGAGCCTGTTTTTAAGCAGTCAATATGTGCAAGGCTATTATGTGTGAACACACTTAGACTGGAAATAAAGGACAAAAGCAATTATCATGTGGAGATGACCCCCACAGGGGAATATTCTATGTGGGGGGGGGGGGCAAAAGCAAACAAGACCACCCTCTGCAACAGGAATGATCAAATTTGATTCATGAGATAATGTTGACTTCAAGTTTCATCAGAGAAGAAAAAAACAGATCACAGCAAAGCAAATTCAAGGCCAAGCACTGAGCTGTCCCGTTATTCATTTCAGATAAATATTTCACTGATTAGAAAATCTGTTGGGACTCTTGGTCAAGAGGCATTTTTGCAATGTCTGCTGTGCTCTCATCACTGCACAATAATGTTGATTTTATTGTCAAAACTAAAGCACCAATGACTCAGGCAAAAGACAAAAACTGCACGCGATGACAGCAACAAAATAAGTGAACCATTGAAAACACAAGGAGAACCATATAACCCTCATCAGCTGTACAACTTGAACTTCTCTACATGTCATGCTAACCACAAACAGGCCAAAACAACATGAGATAGAGGGATTGAGAGGAGACCCTGGACAGGATTGTGTAATTCAGTGATAAGCATTAAACACAGCTGGTGTGAGATCAAGGTGACCAGACTTACCCAGCTCTCCTCTGAGGTTGACCAGCTCCTGGGAAAGCTCCCTGCAATGCCTCGTGGCTTCTTCACGCTGCAGAAGAAAAAAACAAAATGTAAACAGTCACGCACTTGCTCATGATGATGTCACTGTAATGTTTATGATTTGACAAACGGACTAAATAAACTCAGTCACGATCATAAATAAACTATTGCCACATTTTGTATTTGAAAGTATTCACTATGAGAGCAGAGGTGACATCAATGCAACACCCTGATATCTAACAGTATAATGAATACAGTCTTTTAAATTGACTGTTAGTACATTTACAGCATTGCAGCAGATAACAACAAGGACACATTAACAAGTAAGGGAGCAAGGGATTAGGAAAACTTGACATTCAACTCATGTTTTCAGTCTTAGCACATGCCCTGTGTCAGACTAATTCCTTTACTTCTCCTTCTGACTCAGCCTTGCAGTGGAGAGAGGCTGTGCTGCAGCGGCAGGGCTCCTCCAAACTTCAAACTGACGCAATTATAATCAAAAAGCATTTCACCCCTTTACTGTTCTCTAATATACTGCTTCACAGAAACAACCATCAACAGTCTGAATAATTTAATCATGAGCCAGAGATAAAGTGGCTTAGAAAACACAAGTTAAACATTAACTCACTGATAATCTAACAGACCCAAATCAAGTCCTCTCCTTGTTTACAAAGACCAAATCTGAATCTGTTCCTTACTGCAGAGTAGAATCATGAAGAAGCCAATTACCCTCGCTGCAGTGCAGGGAGCACTAAGGCACGCTTTGCTGCCGGAACAGCCCATGATCCAGCCTCAGCCTGAGGCTTGTGTACTGGAGTCTCCCCCTCCTGTTATGGGGACCCAGGCCTCCAGGACAAACAGTGGTCCAGGTGGACACACCACCACCACACACCTCCTCTCCCAGACTGCTCTGACTACATCTGGGGCAGAGACTGAAAAAGCCGCTTCACTTGCTGTGCTGAGTGGCTGCAGAGCCCATTACCGTATTACACCTAAAAAAACAAAAGCCCAAAAGGGGCAGGCTGCAGTGTGCATGAGAGCAGCCTCCTCACCAGGGAGGCGAGGTCACTTTAAGAAAGCCGTAGTGGAGAAAACAGATAAATTGTGCAGAGCCGTGTGACATCAGGCTGATGGTGCAGGACTTGTGCTTTGCAGTGACCTTCCCAGGGGAAACATGGGAGGCTTCATTACCACCATCCCCCACCACTCATCCAAACCTACATTAAATCATCCCCTCAGACCTCGACATCATTATTACCTTACAGTGTGCTGTGTGGCTACAGGATTCATGGGTACCATCCCTCCATTACAGGACGAAATAATGCTGAGACAGATCACATTTCCGACCTCTGTGAGCGCATACGGCTTTACAGTCAATATATGGTTAAAGGAAATGATGTCAGTTTTTGACTTAACAAAATATACATTGGTTGACATTCCTCACACTGCACTAGAAACAGCAGAAATTGTCACAGGAGGAAGGCAATATAGCAATCTGTGTCACAAGTGAAATAGTGCATTATGCTTTTCACAGACAATCCAATCACAGGCATTTGTTTCGACCCCGCATTTACACACAAACTGTGTGAGAAGCAACAGCGTCTGTCAATCAAATGTGTACAAATTAAGAAATATGTTGACCAAAAAGTGGGTATTCTGAAGCAAAAAGCTCAGAGTCTGGAGTCCTGTACTGAAAAAAATGTCCTCCTAAGCTGCCATATAAACTTCACTCACCTCCTGTAGGACTTTCAGAGCAATTTCAGGTTCCATTAAGTTGAAATTCAATGGACTCTTAGACATGTGGACTGGAGGAGTCAGGTATTAAATATCTTATCTTCTGATGTGGACAACCCAATCTACCTCCTGAGTCACAGCTGATTTATAATGTTTCATTTTTTTAAATTCAAAAACTACATTTAGTCCTCTGTGATTGATTGGACACATTTTAATATAAAGTCCATTTTCTCAGCCGATGTTAGGGACATCTAGCTGGGTGCAAGAAGTAGTCATGTCCCCAGTGAACATCAATATGATACCATGTCAGGTGTAGAATAACACTTCATGGTTGACTAAGATCAATGACTAATTGCTTCAGGTCAAGTTACAATTTCCTGGAAACATTAAGAATATCAGAGAGAAGATGGAGAAACAATTTTATGAATCTTTCTTGTGTAATCATTTTGTGGTTATTTGTTTTTATATTCTAAAATGAAACTTGTGTGGTGTCACATTGTTTGTCTTTGACAGAACGTAGTCAAACCAGAGCCAGCTCACTCTATCCAAGCAGATAAACAGTGCTCCGTGCTGCTGCTGGTCATAACCATATCAAGTCAACAGCTGGGACATTTTCACACTGGGATGGTAAGGACCTTCCTCCTATTCTGGGGCTGTTGAGTGGCCACCAGATTCCACTGTTCACAATGTACAGCAATGTCAGCTAATACACTTGAGACATAAATCTTTGAGTATCTAAGAGAACTGTGCTTCTATATAAAATGAAAGTTGGGATTGTGTGAGATTCTTTAGTGTCAGCTGGTGAAGGGTGGACAGCATTACAACATGCTGTCTTTGGAGTTGAGCCAGAGACTGCGGTTTTTTAATCAAAAGAGGAACAAACATTTTGTGTTTTTATGTCTTGTTGATGTCATCAGTTTCACAACAGAGGGAACACTAAAACAGAGGGATATGAGTCAGTGACTGGAGATCACAAAGTGTGCTTCAAATACCAGCTGTCAAACTACAAAGGGATATACCATCTGACATACTGAAAACTAATCTATCTCAAGCCTTGTTTTGTATGACTGTCTTCATACATCTTTAATCAAAGATCTCTCAAATATTCTTAAAAAAATAAGTTAGAACTGGCCATCTAATCTGTTCTCACAAAGGCTTCAACTGGACTGAAGTGAACTTTGTCACAAATGTAGCAACCCAGAGCACCGCCTCAAGGGATGCGTGTCTGGTGTGTGTGACTCCAGACTGAGGCAGGAGTGAATCAACTGTCTGTAATCTAGGCCGTAGGAAATAAATGCAAATGACTCAAAAAGTATGACAGAGAAAAAGGCTCTTAACTTTTCTGATTATTTCTATACACCTCAAATACAAAATCATTTTCACACATGTGCTAAATTCTCATCAACCTCTTGATTTTCGGCCTCACGTTCCAGTCAGAGATGTTCTGAGTTGGAGGATTATATCCTAATTTCATTTTCCGAAACAACAACAGTTAAGAGTTTTTAAGGTTGGTCCTTTCTCTATCGTTTATTTTGAATAAATTTTAGATATTTCTGTTGCCCTTTTTAAATCTTTTTGCAAGAAGTCTTTTCAGAGAGCAAGACACTATACTGTGTGTATAAAATAAATTATTATTTTTCTTCATTTGTTTTAACATTAGGTCCAGCAGAGTCATTAAATGAACAGTTCCCAGCAGCCTCCAGAGGAAAATTCTCAGACGGCATGCTGCCTGCCTCTTGTGTCTCTGAGACAACTGATTATACAATAACATGAAACTCATAAACAAGCATCAAGTAAGGAATATTTAGAACATGTATATCATATTATTGCTTCTACTCTTTAGGTCTTGGGTAAGATGCAGCTCATGTTCGACACATAGTCAAGAGAACAGGATTTATTATCCCGACAGTAATGAAAGTGAAGGACAAGATCAGAAGTCTGAACCTCAGATTCATCTTCACTGTCTTTAATAAAACAGCACTTAAACACAGGATCCAGTATTTGATAAGTACGGTTTTCTTCCATCAAAAGACCTTAATCTAATACAGAGTCTGTTGAAAGAGACACCTCAGCAGTGACAAACAGATACCTGATGTATGTCATCTGGAGGTGTAAAATATTGAGTGGCATTAAGAGACACTTTAAATATTCATTCAGAGAAACTACTTATCTAATGTCTGAAATTACTTTATATTGGAAAGGTGCATTGCACATGTTTCACGAATCTTGCGAAATATTTCAAGAGGAAACTTACAAAGTTAATCAGAAGGACTTCATTTTCATTGTAACGATTCATTCTCTCAGACAGGCCAACAGACCATCTTCATTTCTCTCTAGGCTGATACATCTTTTTTCTTTTTGTTATTAGGATCCCCATTAGCACCAGCATGTACTTTCTACAATTATGTCATCCTTTTGTCAACGTTCACTGCAGTGCTTGTCATTTAGGTTTATGTAATAGAGTCCAAGCACCACTTTCTCATTTTTGCTTTGACAAGTGCTGTATGGGAGAATGATGGTTGGGGTCAGGCACAGGGTAGCTGGTAGGATAAGCTTGTTTGTACTGCACGGTGGGAAGAATAATCCCCTGGGACATCTTGTTTCAAGCAGCCAATCACATGGCACTGCTATTAAAACACATCCAAAACAAACAGCAAGCTTAAACATTCATCTTATTGGGTGGGCGGGTCATTCTTGCCTACCCAAATAACCAATGAATGTATAGAAGTTAAATGTCATCACAAGTGAAAGAAGTGAGCTTTAAGGTAAAAGTCCCAAGAAATGAAATTTATTCTAAAACATTTAAATTAAAGTGCAATAAAAACTCTATAATATGTCTGTGTGTGCTGCTCCTCATACCCTCACATCTCTCACCTTGTGGTAGTTTTAAATACTGTAAATAAAAATGTCTTGGTTTGCCTTCTATCAACACAGGAGTTCATGTTGTAACACGTATAATCACCTTAAATCACATCACTATTTCAACTAGTTGGTCACAACGGATATTTTAATTTGAGTAAAAAAAACATGGTATAATTTTTTTCACTTTGGTAGATTAAGCTCGGCTGGTACAGTGTTTCCATGACTACAAGTACCTGGCTTCTTTAGCTTGAAGTAAAAGCAAACAGGAAATAATGTTTCATCACAGATTTTGAAAACACGATGAAGCACAGAGAGCGCTTCATGATGAACTAATACGAACATTATTTCCACTTTTGTGATTTGATTTTGAAAACTGCATCAATTATTAAGGTTATTAAACCGCAACATTTACCAACCGAGCCAGGCCAACGATCTTTAGAAATGGCAGGATTACTGCGCTACTTTTATATTTTATTACATTATTTATAATTTTTAAATCCCCTCACATGGGAAATGATCAAATAAAAACAGTTAATGTTCTTCAACACAAACATTTAAAAAAGAACTCGCACCAGGCCTTACCTCAGACAAAGTTTGCTGCAAGACGATGGCGATTGCCTCAAATCTACGGTCACTAGCTGCCAGGAGCGCTGTGAGCCGCTGAGTCCTCTGGTCCTTTGAGCCATCCTCAGCCACACTCGCTGGTACCACATCTGGAGGACCATTACTCTGGTTAGGTTGGGATGTCTGCTGTGGAGGTGGATGTGGGCGGGGGTTGGTCTTGGGTTTGCTCTTGTCCACTGTAAGAGAACAAGTGTTGAGTGTTGTTATAACGCTGATCATCATCATGCCCCCCTCCAGAACGGCTGCAGCATCTACACTACACAATCCTGTCAGGGTTACAGATGCATTAAACTCTAATGCCCTTGATAAATCTGTTCTGTCCAATCAGCCAGTCTGATGATTCCCAGTGCTGCTCCTCCAGCGGCCTGGACATAGAAATTGGTCCTCTGGATACAATTAGTTTTCCATTTCCTAATTTAATCTACTGCTCTGCAGACACTGGTCACTGGAGACAACTAGCAAGTCTGTGCTACAGTAGTTTTGATTTACATCAGCTTTATAAATACATCACCAGCATACAATAACTATCATCAATCCTACTAATAAAGAGCACTTTTACTCTGCTAAAACACATAACAAAGACCTGAATGTAAGAAAGTTAGTTTATCACTGAAAGTGGGGAACAGGGGAAAAAGAGAGATTTCTCTTTGAAACAAAATATATGCTTGATAATCGTTTCACAGAGAACTGTTTTTCTACACAGCAGAGAGAGTAGCCTGTGACATATCGAGGATACCAGTGAGTGGACGAACTATACTGTTCCACCAGTGGCTTGTGGGAATACTCAGTCAGCTCTGTCGGATGTTTCAGATGACAGCTGCCTGAGCAAATTAAGATTAAAAAGAAAAATATAGAGATATATCTAAATCATCATATCTAAATCATATAAGTAAGTCATATATGTAAATTACTGTATTTCTTACACTCTTAAAGCTATGTAGAGTAAGCTTGGCCAATGCTGTATTTATGATCATGACCTTTCCAAACCATAAAACCTGGAGCATATTCCAAGTTAAATTTAGATGCACTTTGCAGGGCATCATTTAAGAACGTTGTAACATTCAAGAGTAACTCGAGCGTACAGCTGTGGGGTACAGAAAAGACCTGGATACCTTTAAAAATAAAGACTGCAGCTGCTATTGGCTGAGAAGAGGGTGTATCAACCTAACAGAAGTTCATGTTTTTGTTCAAATCCTGTCCATCCTAAAAGAGAACAAAACTTGTGTTGAGGAAGTCAAAAGCAATAGAGAACTTCGTAGAAAAAAAAAAAGAGCTCAATTTAATATCAATACAGTTTTGCTGGATCATCTGCTGACTTGATAACAGTTCACCTTAAAACTAGTTTCTTAAATGCATGTCTGTGTTTAACAGCCAGAGTAAAACGTATTAATACAATACTACATCTGGGTGGATGGAATCAGTCTCCTTAAGTAGTATTTTTGAAGATTTTCTTTTCTTTAGCATTAGGCTCCATTAGAGCATAAGCAATATAAAAACAGAAACAGCTGTGCTGCTCAGCTTTCAATTAGTGGGACAATGCCGACTGCTTACTATCAAAGGTTTCTCTTTAAATGGGGACGCCCTCTGCTGGCTGGGCAAAGAACACAAAGAGAAACCATCTTGTGTGTCATCACAGAAAACATGTATGACACAAACGTGCAATGCCTGCATCCAGAGTACAGCTCAACTCACTGACAGACCTCGGTTACTTTAAGTTCCCATCTCATCATTGAAATGTAACTGTGTAACCAACATGTCAGTAAAAATAAGAAGATGCAAGTTAATATTATGACTGTCTCTTATCACTGTGAGGAAAAACGTTCAATATATTCATTTATTTATTTCCTGTTTAAATTTTTTTCTTCAATTAAATTAAAATGAAGTTATTGCTCTTCATAGTTATATCTCTTAACTAATTGCTTGGCCTCTTTCACAATTAATAAATACACAGTGGGATCAAAGCCATGTTCTCTAAGGTCATCTATCTTTTACTCTAATAGAGAAAGACAGGAAAGTTCCCTAATCTGCCCCCTGCTATTACATTATTAGTTGTTTTCAGGACCAGTGGAGGAACCTTATGTAACAGATTTTTTGCTAGGTAAAAAAAAACATACGTCTAAACCTCTGAGGAAAATATGAGAAGCTGGCAAAAAAAACCCCAAAAAAACCAGATTCAATAGTGAATTAATTTATTTTAAAAAGTTTTAAAGTCAAAAAACCATGACGTATTTGCAGCAGCGATAAAATTAATTTAGTCACGCTGTAAGCCTGTAAGCTTTCTGCATCTGACAGATGATTCATGACATTAAAGGACCTGCAGCTATTTTCATGTAAATATCCAAACAGAGAGTTTATGACACATGTTGCCCTTTAGTTCATACTTTCCTCTCAGGCTAAAAAAAACAAAGTTCTACATGAAATACTTGATGATTTAGTGAGCCTACAGCAGAATGCTCTGCTCTGAGGGGAGATATCACTGTAGCACAAAGTCTGATGAATGATGACGGCCCTCACAATCACACACTTGTTTTAGTGCTCGACTGACACAGATGACACAATACCAGACAATAATTCTCAGTGAAACAGCCAACGGACCCTGGACTCAAATAAATACGTTTTTATAAAGCCTTTGGGACCATGAAGCTAAGTTACCATATTTGGACATAACTCAGCAAAATAATTATAAAAAAAAACAAAACAAGAACCAAAGGGAGCTGGTTTGTTTCCCACAATCCTTTTCAACAACCACAACACAGTTCAAACTCGAGACCAAGTACCAAAATAACCTTGCTACATCTCAGGGTGAAACAGGAGCACAGTATCAGTGCGGAGGAGAGGAAGAAAATAACAATTTGACAAACAGTCATATGAGTTAGCCACAAAATGAATAAAGACCCTCCTGACATTTAATTTCAAAAAGAGATGTACAGATTGACTTTGAAATGAAACTGTTTCTAAATCCAGGATTTGTATCCTAGTATACTTCTGCACAGGGTCACATATTTTGGTGACCAAGGTAGGTAAATGAAAGATGAACCTCCTGTTTTGCAACTAGCAAATAGCCTTGCTAAAAATAGATTCAGAAACAGCAAACTGCACAGGACTTAGCATGAAGCAAACACAAAATGGTTTGGTTAAAATATTATAGATCAACTAGATCAACAAGCCCCCCCCCCCTTTAAAAAATAAATAAATAAAATGTCTGCAGAACATGTTATCAGTGAAACAAACAGACCTGCTTGGAAAACCACAGTGCTCTTCCTGCATCCTGACAGCAGCTGTATGTTTCGGAGTAAACCCTTGGCTGTCAGGCGCACGTGGATGTTGGACAGTGAAAGCTTCGGAGACCATAACATCTCTCAAACACAAAGCGAGATGGCCAGGATTTTAAGCCAAAAATAACGTAGAAAAAGTCACCAGATGGAGCAGCTTGGTTATGAACCACATGCCATGGTGCCCTTTAGTGTATCATATCTCAGGTTCTAAAAGCTCAGACAGGCAGAGAAAAATAAATCAGCAAAAACCAATAGTAGGAGTTACACAACAGGAACAGCTTTGGAAAAAGTGAATGCACGCAGTTCAGCATGGCAGGTCTCCCACTCAAAATCCAAGCTGTGAGGACTGGACGATGTAAAGAGGGTTAAAGGATGTCCAGTAGCTTGTAGCCCAATAATGTGATAGAGGCAGGAAAAAAAAAAAAAAAAAAAGTAAAAATCCCTTAATCCTCTTGGTAAAGCCAGGATTCAGCTATTCACCAAACACATCAATCTCTCACAGCAGAGCTGCATCTCCAAGCATGGTGATGGTGGTGCTGTCGCAGAGCCAGGATGCTTGGAAGAGAGCAGGGGGGGTGGGGCGGGACAGAAAAGAGTGGGAGGAGCAAACAGCACAACTGCAGCCAATGAGAATTTAATCTCACCCCCCACTCGTAGCTCAGTAACTCTCTCTTCCTGTGTCACCAGCAGAAGGATGACATGAGACCTGAGACTTGGTTGGCATGGTTTTGTCTGACAGGCCGAGCTGTACACAGCTTGGCTGGCACAGCTCATGAAAATGTGTCTTCAGCTGTGATGAGCAACAAAGCCAATCCCCCTCACTGTTCTGACTAAGTTCAGCAGGTTTTATAATGCAGCATGTTTTACATATATTTTATGTAAAACTAAAAGCTGGACCAGACTGTAACAATAGAGAAGGAAACAAAAATATACATCAAGCATAATGAGAGAGCGACAAAGTGAAAATATCAATATAAAAATAATATATATATTTTTTACTTTGAATACTGCACCTTTTGTACATTTGTGTTTTTATACTCTATTATAAATATAATTCAAGCTCTTGCTATTTTTGCCTTCTTTTTTTTTTTGTTAACTGTTTTTGCACCAAAACACAAAGTCAAATTCCTTGAATGTGCAAATGTACTTGGCAATAAAAAACAATTTTGATTCTGAAAAGAGAGCACATCTACTGGCTTTGGTGAGGTTATGTTTACAGGAAACAGAAGCAAACTAAAAAAAATAAAACTAGCACAATACTGAAGTTAAAGGTAAATGAACTATATAGTGCTTTTCCAGTCTTATGACCATGCAAAGCATCGCTAACCTTCTGGTTGTGAGATGACTGACTCTACCACTGAGCCACAGTCACCCCAAGTGCCTCAGATGAATCAGGGAATCAAGGCATCACTTCAACAATACAATTGGCTGAAAATGGGAGTATTTTTAGTTTATAGTAAGTTAAATTGATGCTTGAACATGAGGGAGAAGGTGGCACAGAACAATGTTCTTGTAAGGAAAAGATTCTGAAAATGGTAATATGCAGTTGTGTAGTACATGGTATACACAGGTATATGGAATATAACAATTTATTTTTCAGTCTCCATAGAGTAAACCCACTTCTAAATCTTCTCTGATTCACACCATTGATTGACAATATTCAGTAGGATGCTGCAATTTTTTCTAAGATGGTGAAAGGATGACCCTCCCTTCTCTGTCTGTAATCGGCAAGTACACACTTAACATGCAAGAGTAGTCACTTTTTACAACAGAGGCCATTTATCCTCTGCTGGATGGGAAGTGTACCCACTTCTTAAGGCACCACTACACCACTGGTAATATGTCTGTTGTCTCTATTAAGACAACACACCATTTTAAGAAGGCTGAATGTGTTAACAAAGAGGGGGCTTAAATGTGTTCACAGCATTCAGTAAAAACAAAGGAGAGACACATAATGGATACAATTTGATAGTTTGGTCATTAAAACAAAGAGAGAATGAGCACTTACGAGGTCCACTTGAAGTCAGACGAAGTCTTGCAGAAACAGTTCTTTTAAATGGACAGACGGTTTGTCCTTTGTTTGTTGGAGCGGCAGATTTGCATGCTGTGGCCAAAGCTGTAAATGACAAATCAAGGTGAGGCACAAGGCACGAGTTAATCTGACCCATGATGAAGCGGAGAAACAGCCAACTGACTGACCACAATCTCAGACAGCTTTAATGTTACAACCAGGCCAGGAGGTGTGACCAAATACACCAATCCTCTAAAAGAACAAACACATCATTATCTCAACTTAATCAAGATTGTAGAGTGCCTGTCAAATGTGGTTACCATACAATATTAACGAGATTATGAAGAAACACAAGCTACTGTTTGAAAATGACTGTTTCAGGAGGGCTTGATCACTTTCACCTAAAGTAGATCAATCAGGCACATTTTGTTTTAATCAAAGTGAAGATTTATTACACAATGTAATATCATAGTGTGAAGACTTAACACAAGTTGTATAAATCAACATGGTCTCTTTCAAATACTTTAAAGAAGGAGATCAGAAAAGTGTTGAAAAGGTAAAGCTCAATAGCTCAAACAGAAATGTAAACTGACCTGGTCTTGAGTTTTTCCCAGGGCTTGTGATGAGTCTTGCTTTCAGCACGGCAGTTCTGAATGGTGTCTGTTTATGTGCAGCTCCTCCGAAAACTGTTGAACATATAAATGCTGGTTATTTAAAGGCATTTGAATACCTTTCAACTATCAATACATTACTGCTGTTATATTGAAACTTATCACGTGTAGTTGGACATCACCGGGGTTTTATATAATAGCCATGTTGATTTATTAAAGTGAAGTGAACAGCGTTTTTTAATGTAACAACACCATGAAGGTAATAAGGTATTATTAATGTTATTATGAAACCAAATAAAATAAAGGTAAAAGAAAATTAATCAAATAAAAAAGTGTAAATCTGACCGTTATGGAAACAACAACAAGATGTAACAAATACAGAAGCAAATGCATAAAGACTATGACGATATGATTTATAGATTAGAATCATTTTGTCACTATTGTATACAATAGTACAACAGTATGATAAAGCTTCACCTTAAAGTGCACACATATCCAGTCATCCACAGCTAAAAACAACAACAACTCTCGTTCAGGTAAGATGGGCAATGTACTGTATGTGTAGAAGTATTTACTTGAGGGAGTATAAAAAAAGTGTCTTGCCAGATAACAGAATATAAATAAATATAAATATTGCACATGCAGAGGAAAAACAAATAGCATGTAAAACGATATAACAATATGATCATTGTTTAACAAACTGTTAATCAACAAATAGAAGTCCAGTCTCACTTACTTCTCCAAAGCTTTTTATGTTTTCCATTAAAAACAGCTATCAAAGGGATGATACAAAACCGATAGGATCCAATGAGCAGACATGTCAACAGCGTGACATCACAGTTTGACACTGCACTGCTCTGTGCAATTAAAGAGGAGTTGTTGAAAAATGGGAATTCAGTCCAAGTGCAACTTCTAAGTCCTGTGTAACCAGCCATTTGTTTTTATTTTAAAAAATGGACAAAGAGAAACTGGCTCCTCGTCTGCACCTCAGACAGCATCAGCTGCGATGCATGTCTGCTCATTTTCCTCCAGGCAACGCTGTGTGTGAACTAGAGTGGAATATAATCTGTTGCCATAACAACCACACAAGGCGGGGGGGGGGTCCCAGATTGAAAAATATGTCCTATTAGCCAATCATTGACCTGCAGGCCTTTGATGATGCTGGGTGGACAATAGCCCATCTTCTGACAGTTCTCATTTTTAAAATAAAAAAAACAGCAAAACACCGCTACAAAGATCACACTGGAACCATTCAAGACGCACCAGCAAAACAGGTTGATTTTCTGAAACTTGACTGGATTTAATCTCATTCATAAAGATTTTTGATAGCTTAGAATTGTATTCTGTTTCTTAAATAGCTTCAAAAAAGAAAGAGAAAAATCTCACTTTGTTTCTAAGATGCTCAGCTCCATGGAGCTTGACAAATGTGGAAGTATTAAATCAAACCAAGATTTTTCTTTTGGAGATTACACACTGGCAATCCGTACCATGCCTAAGCATGCTTCACCCCTGAAATCCAGTTCATCTGACCAGTGCTCGAGCACAGTACACTTCCTTGGCCCAGGCACGCCTCGGATAGGTGCGGTTCGGCACGGTACAGTTCATGCACATGGGTAAACAACATTTACAACCTTTATTATGGAGAAATCTGGAGTGTTCTGTCTGTATCTGACTAAAATGACTTTTTTTAAATGTATTTATGGCTGTATCTGTTTAAAATAACTTAAAATAAGCCTCAAAGTCAGTAAGGTAGCTGACATGCTCTCTGTGTTGCTCTCCGATGTGCAGATGCGGACATGACCGCGCGTCCCTTTTTTACATTTTTTTCTGGAGTCCACCTACTTGTAACCTGAGCATGCTTCATAACAAGGCCAGCGGGGTAATGGGGAAGGGGGTGGGGGGCAATCGTGCTTAAGGATGGTATGGGACAGCATTGCCAGTGTGACCGCGCTAACATCTGAACCTATCCCTGAATTGGGTCACAGTAGCCCCTCCCCTTTATGCCCAGATGTGTCCTTAAAAAGCACAAACACCACCATGACCTGACCCTGGAAAACTGTCTGTATAAAACTAAATCTATACCTTCATTGAACAGCCTTATGAGACAGAACATCCTATTTCTAAAAGCAATATAAATCTTAATTGGGCTCACCGTGTGCACTCCCAGCCCCTTCACTCAGCTCAGTGTGAACACTGTTTTCAGCAAGGCTTCTGGATGGCCCCAGGGTTTTGCGTGGTAGTCTAGAAGTGGGAGTAGGCGACGGACCCATAAGAGAGGAGCGGGTGGGAGTCTGAGGAGTTTGGCATCTATTCAGTTGGGGCTTAAGACTCGCAGATGAGGCAGTTCCAAGGAATGGCCCTCCTGCTGCTTGTACTCTGTGATTGCCTGAAAGCATAAACACAAATAACCATCAGAGGACCACAAACTTTTTATTAGGACACTACACACTGAGCTCAAAGTTGTTTTGGTTATATACAAACACAGGCAAATATAAAATGTCCACAAAGCTACCAAGCAGGCCATATGAACACTAATAAACATGTCTTGTATATGTCGTCGATTAAAACTAGTGAAAGTTTAGAATGCACAATTAAAGGCATACAAACACAACATAGCCTGAGTCAAGTTTCAGGTAAAAAATGAACACTGACATCTGTTGGATTTCTCATCTGCTAGTGCACATGCCCATTCTGATGAACTACAAGCTAAAATATGTTAAAGCAGAAAAATGCAAACCAACAGAGAGTCTCTTTAGTCAGAGCATGAGCACTTTTCTGATCTCTTTTACAGAGGGTGCTCATTTTTAACTTTTTTTCAATTTAACACTACTGGTGAGCTCAAAACTCCCTTTCCTGTCTCTGCTTTTTCCCCTTATGAAGATCCCTCACTATATTAAGAAGATTCAGCTTCCTTCCCCAGGGCTCATATGTCTATGACGATCAATAGAGAAGAGGCTGTTGATTGCTCATCCTAAGTTGAGAGTCTGGAGGTTACATCTGCATCCAACACTGTTCCAGTGCAGAAAGCTGACGCTAATCAGGGGGTAGACACATGGTCTATTAGAGGAACTGCTAAATGTCCCCCTCTCAAGGAAAAACTGCTCTACTACAGTCAAATCAGAGAGCCATATGTCTAACTGGAGCAGCGCAATGCAAGTTTAACACAGGAAAATGTTTAGCAAGGCTGTTGTTGTAGTGTAAAATATCCAACAGCAGGATTTTTCAAATTCACATTTTCTTATCTCTGCCATGCCACTACATAAATATTATGAGAGTGTTGATTGTGACTTACTGTCAATGTTAAGTTACCATTAAAAACATTAACTGTTCAGCTTTCCCCTAATGAAACAACTGTAAGAAATCTTTCTCAAAATTCCCTTGATGTTATCACAGGCTTAGCTTCACAGCAAAAGCATTGTCAAGCTAATACTAGACTTACCTGTATTGCACTTGGGTTTGAATATTGCCTTCTCTGCAGCTTTGAAAGTCTTGCATTCACCCCTACCCAGAGTTCCTTGCTTCTGCCTGGTGGAAATCGTGGCTAGTCTTGGACTGACAGCTGGAGGCTGTGAAGGCGGTGCTCCTCTTGGTTGTCTAGGAGAGGGGCCTCCTCGAAATCTGCCTTTATTATCATCCAATAATGCTCCTGCTGATTTGCTAGTCTCCACCTGCAAGAAGAGAAATTACTCAATCATTCAGCTCTATACAATTGGAAGGTTAACAACACAGAAAAACATTTTTGCAAAGGCCTTACCCAACCTCCTGCAAAATTTGAATTATATACTACTATATATACACTGTCATTTAATTGATGCTGAAGTTATAAGTACATACTCACCACCAGGCTGATCTTCTTAACGTCTCTTTTTGAGTTTTCAGCAGGACTGTTTGTAGACTCAGCCTGTACCACTTGTTTATTCTGAGAAGTGCAGTTCAGGTTCCTTGGTTTGGTTTTACCCAGGTGGTTGTCAACTTTGTGAATCGTTAGGCTTGTAGAGAATCTAATGGTTGTTCTTTTTTCCCTGGTCGGCAAAGACGCTGATGATAAACGTGGCCGGGACTTGAGGGTAGGAAGATTGTCCTGACCTAATGCTGAGCCTGATCTGACCTCAATTTTGTTTGAGATGCCTTTCTTTGGAGTTGGTTTGCGAACTGGTTGGCCCCTTCTATCTGGGTTTTTTTCCAAGGGTGACAAGCAGAAGGTCTCGTTGCCAGCATGCTCTGCTGCTGTGTCTGCCAATTGGCTAGAAGCTGCATGTTCACTTTTAGAGAAGGAATTACTGCATTTGACTTCTAAATCCTGAGTGTTTGCAGATGAGAGCTGGCAAGGTGATGATGCTATACTATTACTCAGTTCATCCACTGCACAATGCCTAGATAACTGCATTACTGTCGCTCCTAAATTAGCAGCCTCTGAATTAACTTGTGTCGGTGCATCATTGGCAAATTTGGCAATGGTAGAAACAACGGCAGCTCTACCCCTCTCCTTGGATGGACTTACCCTTGTAGCAGCACCTCTGTGTGATTCAGTGGGCTTGTTTTTCACATTTGCTTGAGATTGTTGGTGCTGTGAAGCATTGCCTTCTACTGGCATCTGATGCACATTTCTTGTCAGAACTTTAGATTTTACTTTGCTGAAGTCTGATTTAGGGAACTTCTTGATTTCCCCCTTCTTGAATTTGGTGACTAAATGCAGACATGCAATTGAAGGTTGTTTAGGAGTTCCAGAGATTTTCTGGTGTTTCAAAGGTAGGATACCTGGGGTGATTGCTCTTCCAGTGCAGGGAGAAAATGAGGGAAGGCTGAGTATGTTGTTCCCTATAGTTTGTAATGGAGTGGAAGTATGAATATCTTTGTCAATGTCTTGCATTGCTGAGAGAGTAGACAAAAAAGCGTTGCCTTGTCCAGGTGTTAGCTCTCCTGGGAAAAGAAGCATCTCTTCTTCTGCACCTGGAAATTCAGCCACTTTTTCATAATCTGAAGGAGATGTTTCACAAACAAAGGTCATAAAAACCTCTCCTTCGTTCTCACCCGGCAGAGCTATAGACGAGCTAGATGATGAAATATCATTTTCCTCAGAAGAAAGCTCTACCAACACATTGAAGGTCTTGCCAAGACTTGAGTGGCCCGTATCAACCTTTATAACTCTTTCTGTGGATTCTTCGCAGACATCTGGTAGAGTGGTGGACAGCAGATTAGAATAAGTAGGTAAAGTTGAACAGCCAGCAACTTCAGAAATTGATGACTCATCCAGAGAAGAGACTACCAAAACAGACTGGTCCTCTAGACAAAAACTATTATTCCGCATCATCATTTCCCCAGAACTGATGGAGCAGCAGTCATTCTCGATGGATCCTCTGTGGGAGTTCTCACATGAACCCGGTTGGCTTTCTCTCCCAACAGAGTCTGGAGACATCCCTGCACTGTCACTTCCATCCAATGTGTCATTTCTAAAAGTCTGGTACTTGAGTTTACGCGTTACACTCATGTTGTCATTCAAAAAACTTACACTGCCATTGTCAGGTGTGGCAATAAAAGTTTTGTTCAAGTTTGTACTTCCATCACAGAATGAATTAACCTGTGGTACGGTGATGTCATAGGGGTCATCCATAGTGGGACCCTCACTGAGGGAATACTCTAGCATGTGGATGTCTCTGTCACTAAAGTTAGGATTACTAGTGTAAGAGTCGGGTGACAGGGACAAGCTGCTGTAATGACTCACAGGGGAGAGGCCCACAAGCAGGTCTCTGTGGGGAAAAGGAATTGTGCAATCAACTTGGTCACTCAACATGTTGAAGGTCTTATTGGACATTTTGGAGATCTTGTGGTATTTGGGGTATTTGCATTTCATTCAGTTAGCATCCAGTTTGTTTATCGAGCATGTACACCTGTAAAGAAGATGAGAGAGTCAAATTTACAACTTTATGAAACAGGGGAAGAAAATCAATAGCAACAACTATGTCATTTCTAAAGGTGGTAAATAACGTCACAAACTGAGCCAGTGTTGTGCTCAGGGGTAAATACTAAGTCTTTGTATTTATTGGCCATTGTAGTAGTCCCATTAGCTAGATACTCATGACTTATTTATGACTTTGTTCAGTGAAAAATGCAAAGTCATCAGGGTCATTCTTTGTTAGTGTAGGTCTGTTCAAATAATATCCTGGTTGTGTTCCACAAGATATAATTTCATTACTGAATATCAGATTTAATTTACAGGAAACAACACAGAATTTCAAGGCACCAACAAAGCAGGCTACATTTTCCTACATTCCAGGTGAGAGGAGGCAATAAATACTTTAACAGCTGTCTCTTCTCAAGGATAATCAGCGTAATACAACGTTTAAATGCAGAAAAGTGCCGACAATGTGTTTGGCAATGAGAAGTGTACGGCAGTCCTGACTTTGTTGTGTTCTATTTAGTTAAGCTGACTGGACTGCTAAACTTGTCAGCCACTAACTACAACAAAAGCGCCATTGTAACATATCAGGTCACCAACAGAAATGATCAGAAAAGTAAGACATGGATTCACAAACTACATGAAATCTTCCAGTACGCTGATCTAACAAAAAAATGAAACACTTCAGGAGGATAATGAATATTCAATGAAAGATTCTGAAGTAACAAATGTACATTGTGCTGCTGTAATTACTCCAATATATCTTGAATGTTGAAGCTATTGTATACAGCCTCCTGCATATTTGTCAAGTTTAAAGAGAGACCACACACACAACTTTAAAGCAGGCCTTACGCACAACACAACTGCTGAAGAGAAGTATTTGAGTAGTTCTGCTCTTATCAATACAGCAAGAAGGACAAATCTAAATGAATATGTTTATTTAACACAAACAGGAAGAACACACCTTATTGTGCAATACAACCTGTGTGGTCAAATTAAATGAACTGCCTTAGTCAACTCCAGTGCACATTGACCCTAAGAGTAAAGTACCCTGCCAATGCCACTACAGTACTTTCCACACAAAACACACTCAGTAAAGTAACATAGCATGATAAATAAATGTGAAAAGATGTTTAGGGGAATTATGTTAAAGTACAACTTCATGCACCTGACATGACCCGACTTTTGGTAAAAACAAAACCAAGTAAATCAAGCCACATACTTCACCATTTAAAAAGCAAGACGCAGCGAAACATTTGTTTACAAAAATAATCAACACTTACCTTTCAAATGAAAAAAAAAAACAATCAGGTATAATCTGAACAAACAGATGCAAGTACTCCATTACAGGCTGAGGTTAGGAAGAAAATGCCCCCACATTCAGTTGTTTCCCACTGTATATCAAGTCAGAGATCAGTCTGTTTTTTCATGTTCAGCCAGCTCCTTTACCCCCTCAAAGACAATCCCATTACTGCTTTCCTTCCATAGCTAAATCCAGCCTACTAGGCAGGCAGAGGTGTGCAAGCATTCTTCAACCAGTCACTGCAATTGTCCAACCACACCTCCCCCCTAGAGTTCAGAGTCAACCTGGATCAGTACCATCACAGCCTGAATGATGGTACTCTCTGTGCAGCCTGCACTCTCCACTCCAAGGGGTAACGTGACTAAGTCCAGCAAGCCGACTGCAGCAGTGGATCAGCGTTTTTTCCAATCAGACAATTGTGCCAGACACCATCAGTGTGTTGGCTGTACACTCCCCAGTGCAGGCATCAAGGTCCAGTTTAACCTTTAACAAGTCTAGAGCTCCACTGCAAAGTTTACAGAGGGAACGAGTGACGAAGAAAGTAACATGTCACCCTATTCATGCCGATCCCTGTGCAGGAGGAGTGGCTATGGCCTGCCAGGCTGAGTTGGCATTCACTGTTGCTAAGCAGCCAAAGTCCTTCTTTTATGAGGGAATGGATCAGGCGGCTTTTTAGGAAAGGATAAGTGAACAGGAGAGTAGAATGGCAGGAGGCCTATATAGGTGCAGGAGATTACTCCTAGATTGCAAAATGCGTTTTAATGCTGCTTATGACTTCTCCAACGTACTACAGTCAGTGTCACTGTTTGATATTGAACACAGAAAGCAAACAAAAAGATGACACCTGATCCTGACTCTGCAGCAGTGGTGTGACACCTGAGTCTAAGACCCTTAAGTCACATGCTATTTCTGCTTAATCTATACAAGGCCCCTGACCCTGGGAACTACAGTCTAATCTTAACTACAGCCAAGATGTAAATCATGGTATAGAGCAGGCTTATATTCCCAGAAGTATTAGTCCTGAAACAAGCAAAATCGTATTTACTGGATATAGTTCTGCAGTCACAGCACATAAACCTTGGTCTTCAATTATCAATGTAAACAAAAGACAAAATGTCAATTTTGAGCAGAATTTAAAAAAAGCAGCTTGACATCTCTACAGACCAGAAGTGAAACCACAGAGATGCATAGTGCAGCCTAAAAAGTTTACACTCTGAAAGCATAAACAATTATTATCAACAGTTCTGTTTGATAAGGCGTCATTAATTACTCTGTTTTTCAGTAGACACAAAAAAGTCCAAGTTACAGGCTTCACATTGAGTCAAACAGTTAAAGCTGAAAGTGGTTTAAACTGAACAATATGTCTATTTCTTATGGGCACAGTGCAGAAAGCTTCAAATGGCCTTTCCATTGGTGGTAGGACATATCAGTGTCATCTTATGAGCCGTTCTGAGAAGCAATCAAAAGGCCCGGGCTGGCACAGAGCTCCAGCAGGGCAGCAGGTCAAGCTTGGGGGATCGGCATACCGCAGGGACAAGGCGGTCCTCTGTAAAGCACAGGGGGAAAAGTCACAGCAAACGGCCTAGGAAGAATAATAGCATCCTGTCTTTCAACAGACAGAATATTAGTCTGTTTGATGAAACAAAAGGGCCGTCAAGACAAAGCTGCAGGCCAAAAGCCGTCTAGTGAAAAACAAAGAGACTGAATGTCAGATGTGTCCAGAGCTGTAGGCCTATAACTACAAAATTATAGTCAAGTAGCCTGCACATCATTTGTGAGGCACTTCCAGAGGGGGGTGGGGGCAGAAAACAACAACAACAACAACAACAACAACAACAACAACACAAAAACCAAACTTGCATAGTAAAGTGTGTCTTAACGCCAATATAACATGGATGGATGCTGGTGGATGTGGATTTCCTCTTTTCTTCTGGCTCCACTAACACTTAAAGTCATTAGTCAAATAGTTTCTGATGAAAACACCAGGCAGGTTTTCTGCACCTGATAGGTAGATTATCCCAGTGTGCAGCCTCCTCTAGCCAGTTAGGTCTATAATTAGATCAGGAGTAAACATAGTGTGCAGCTAAATGGCTTAAGACGCAGGCCTCTGGACCACTTGAAGGGATAGATTAGAACAATAAGACAACATCGAATTAAGTTGAATTATCGCGATGCAAGCTTGTGTTGACATTTTTAAAGTTAACAAACACCGCGAATTAATTACAATTAACTTCTAAGGGTTTGGTAGCAAACATTAATATTTATATGAAGGATGAAACAAAATAACGAGACACACAGCGGGGGAAACGGACAAACAAACACTATTAACAAGTTTAGCTAACTTTAACTAGCTATCAGGCAAAAGTTCATTTAGTTGGGAACAGATGAGCCAGAATTTTTTGTTACGTAAAGTTGCACGTAAACACGTCACTGAGTGGTACATCACTTACGTGAGAGAAAACATACAGCCACACTTACCATGTGTCCGGTACCAGCGCAGACATTGAAAGGAGTTTATAAGACGCACACAGTTAATGATGAGCATTAAAAAATCAACAGTCTGGATTAACGGCTTGTACCTGTCATGGTCGCGAGCCCCGGCAGAAGCACGAGGCTGAAGTCCTAATGAGCAATTAGTTTCACCTGTCCATTTCCTTTTTCAGCATGACCTGAAAACATCAACAACCTTCACATACGGTCGGATGTCTGTCAAAACAACATCCAGATAATACTCCAAGTCTTTGCGTGACCATTGATCACTGATATGAACATTTAGAAATCAGTCAATGAAAGTGTTTGTAATGCCTTCATCAGTTCTTCTTAAATCCATGAAAGGAAGTAAATATTAAAACCCAAAATAAAAATAAAATGCTATGCATTTGTAGGACCAACCATTGGATGCCATCGGTTTTTATTATTTCAAATTTTAATGTACAGTAATTAAATAATTACACGATGTTAAGTCATATGATGCAGGGAAGCAAATATGTACATTGTAAAAAGTGCATTGTGTTAACAGAAAGAACATATTGGGCACACTTAACATCGCAGAACAGGAAAATGGTGAAAGAATACCCCCCCCAAAAGTGAACAGGCGAGAAATAGAAATTCTTAATAATCGGGCTTCATTTAAAGAACTGTTAGATGTTTTGAATCAGTAATATCAATCAGATTTACAATGTTTATTTGTATGATCATATCTGGTATTTTACAACATCTACTTTTTGAGTACACTTTTGTGCTTGGTGATGATTGAGACAGCATCAAAACACACAGTATAGTGTATCAGCGTGGTCAAACATTAGTTTGTTAAATAACAGAAAGAGAACCCGTGATGTAAAGTCCTTATTGATGAATCTGCAACACACTTTCCATGCTACCTACAGTTCAGGTCCCACATGTTTACAGGAAAAGTATAACAATAACAAACCAATTCTTTCTTTCTTTTATGGTAAATTTCAGGTATCAGTCTCTTAACTGATCAATGACATAGATAGGTGCATGGCAGGGTATCACACATTGATACATCAGGCCACTGAGTGCATGAGACAAGATGAATATACCAGACTAGTTTAAGACAAGATTATTCTTCCACGTCATTTTTGTAGGCCACATGGCTGCTGTCCATAAGAGTGGGTATGAGGTGGCGCTCCCTTTTCCAGAAGGCAAGTCAATGTGCACACTATCAAAGAAGGGGCTAAGGAAGGAGGCAGCAGGAGGAGGAGCAGCATGTGTCTTCTGAGGATGTAGAAGCTGGAGAACAAAAAGAAGAATAGTTGCGTTTCCTTTTGGATCCATTGGCAGGCATATTTATACATGTGCTTCTCCCCCTCTTCCTTTGATCCTTTATATCTCTTTTTTTATTCCAACTCTGCTCTCATTATTTGACACACGAGGGCCAACTGAGGCCCCCACAGGCAGCAGAGACGATAATGTAAAGGACCACCTGAAAAAATAAAAGACACAAAGTTGACATCTTGTAACACTTTTTCATTCATCACTGTGAGTCGCACAGCTGCAACACACAGAAGGAATTCATATAGTCAATGTCTACAATACTGAAGAGGCTCTTTAGGAAAAAATCAATGCAGCAATGCGTTTTCAGTGAGATAACATGTGAAGTAAACTGCTAGAGTGTACAAAACTGCTGGTCCTCTTTATAGCTGAAAATCAAAACTAGTAGCCAGGTGACTTTTTATGTAAACAGAAAAAGGACTCTGTCCAACAAATGGTATTTTATCATTACACAGCCAGAGGAACAACCACACCAGCTAAAGAACCATTACATTATTTTCCTCTACTTACTAACATTTGACCAATTACCATTTTTGTCCGTACTCACCAGGCACACCAGCACAATGAGAAAGGTCAACTTGAGGTTCTTCATGCACATGGCTCGAGCCAGGTTACGACTTGTGGTCTTAAATGTGACCGACTACATGGGCAAAGGGAGAGAAAGTTACATCATGTGAATAAGATTGCTATATTACTGTCAAATGAACATGTAGACAAATCTAATGCATCAGAAAAACAAGTTGGATGAATGAATGATACAACTCACAGAATCAACCAGATTTTCTGTCTTGTCAATCAGTAACTCCAGCTTCTCTCCTCTCTGAGCAACCAAGTCTGTCAGAAGACACAAAGAGAGCCAGAGATCACTTCTGAGGCACAAAGGGTCAAGGCTGCTGTGGAAAGTACCCAAACTGCCTGACAGGTGTAGCTGGTAGATGTAGCAGCGGGCGCAATAAAGATTTCATTGTCTTGCCCAAGAGCACTTCAACATACCCCTGCAGGAGATGGGGATCAAACCCCCTACCTTACAACTGAGAGACTCCTGACTCAACCACTGAGCCACAGGCACATATCAACTGGATATGTAATTGCTCCCCTATCTCAGGGGCTATATATAAGTAAGTAAAGTCACAATAAGCTCACCTATGTTGCGGACCATAATGCCCTTCAGGTCATCCACTTGCATCTGAGTCTCAGTGACACGGTCTGATCCCCTTGGGTCTGAGTGGTGTTTCTACAAAAGAAACAAAATCAGAGAAAGTTTAGGAAAAGACAGAAATGGAAAAAAGATTGAATTACATGTTGTGATTATTAAAGCTGTGTGTGTTATAATTTGTCATGGCGCTTAGTTTAAGTTAAAAAAAGTCACAGTGCCATGATGTTGCTCAGAGTCTTATCATACTCACCATCTGAGCTGCCAGTGTTGAGGAGAACTCACTGTTCATGGCGTAAGGCAGGGCTGTTTGTGCTCGCGACCCGTACGTCGTCTGGAAACGCTTCTTGACTTCACTGAGGAAGCTGAATGCACGAGACCTCTCAAAGTCCTTCAAGGCAAAGTTAAAAACATCCATCACTCAACATCCCACTAACACCAACAACAGAAAAAACCAAGCTATCTTTATACTTACATCGTCAGTGATACACAGATATATGATTCTGTCATGGCAGATGTAATGAAAGAGATAGCTAAAAAAGAAAAAGAAAAGTGTTGACAAAAAAAAAGCAATCAGTTTGATAGAGCACTGAATGTCCAGAGAAGCAGTAAGTACAGGTTAAAAATTGGCTGTAACTCTACATGATACTGATATTCCCCACTCTGAACTGCCAAGATTTTTAAACAGGAAGACATTGTCTTGTGCCTCTGTGGCATGTGATACAACTTTATGGTTTCAGGTTACATTTTCAACTTGTGATTTTAGTCAAGTACAGTTTACAATGTGTGCTAGAACTAAGATATCCTTTATAGTCTTAGCAAACGAAGGACATTTTCAATTGCACCGATTAACAAAGTGTATTACACACTGTGATAATTAGAGCATATGATTACTTTTCTGTAAATGCTATTACCATATTAAATGAAGATTTAAAAACTAGTCACAGCTGTTTTTCTGGTTCACAATTGTTGAAAGTTTCTAAAAGTGCATAAAAAGGCCTGAGCAATATACATTTGGAAATAATAGGAGTTCATTACTTCAACTGTTTTCCCCCACATTACATTGAAGTTCTCTTATGCTGATAAAGTTGTGATTTTCAAGTCAAGTTTGGAATGACAAGACATGTAGTTGACAAAAGAGGGAAAAACTGACTCTAGGTCTGACTCTACATCTCCATCAGATCAGATGTATTTCAAATAGGACTCCACTTCTTTTTATGCGATATAATTAGTGTGTTGTAGTGTGCAAGTCTTACCTTCCATGGCTGTAGGTTAGTTTGTTATTTTCTGATGGGATTTTGGCTAAGATCTGCTCGGTCACTTCCAGGAAGTTGCCACCACACCACGCATGCTTTGCCAGGATGGTGGTTCCACGAGCCACAACAGCAAACAGAATTGCCATAGCAACAGCAGTGGTTTCAGGTTTTTACTCACTGACAACACAAGACAAGTAAAAGATGTTTCAGTGACAGAGCTGAAGACAAGCAGCACTGAGGCTGAGGAACAGACACTTATTCAGGGGAAACAACTTGTTAAACGTTGCAAACAGGACGACATGATGATAACTGTGAATTTGTTTGACAAGTTATTGGAGAATGAATAGCAGCCCTTGAGCTATAACTAAGTTAGCTTCAGCTGTCACAAGACATGAAAACGAAAGCCAGATTAACGTTAGCAGTAAAACAGCAGATCCGCTAGGTTGGCTAATAATGTTGTTAATATTCATAACAACTGTATGAAGGTAGCTGTAACGCGTTTATCGTCTCTAGCAACAAAGGTCACACATTCAGCAGTAATATTGAACACCCATCCAAATACCTCAATGTGTCAGCGCTGTTCAAATGAGCTTATTTGGCACAAATTCCAACATCTAAAGAGATTCCCTCTGCTAGCAAGCTAGCTAATCCTTTTCGACTGACTTCTGCTTCGCAAACCTCCAAACCGGAAATACGTCACTCTCCTACTCGGTAATGTAGTTCTCTCTACGTTGCGTAGCCTAATATTTAATTATTAATATAAATATTTAATTAGTTTAGCCGTAATATTTACAGTCCATGTGCGTAGCATACGTATCCTAATGTATAATTATTTTATAGAACTACGTTTTTTCATTTCCTGTATGTCACTGTTATCGTCACATGTTTTCCTACGTCACCGTATGGAGACCGCACATATTAAGTTGGGTTAATTCAGCCCTTGCATGTGTCTTAAAGGCAACTTAACTGCCATTGTTATGATTCGGTAGATGACTAAAAGTTTTATTTTTTGTTTTAGAGTAACTTAAGTGTGTCAGCTGCTCAATATTTGTAAGTCTCTGGAGTGGACCAGCAGCTGTCAAGTACAAACAAAAGTCGAGCAATGGCATGTTCCTGAGACTAGGCTAGCAATTTTTGATATTGGGCAAAAATGATTTTAACTTTCACTTTTTCAAACAAAAGTATGGACAATATTTATGTAGAACTACTTACTGACAGACCACACACCCTGCCTGTGTGTGTTATTTTACAACCACACAAGGATCGTGAGCAGCAGCAGTGGGCTGATTGCCTGTCAGACAGCGACGAGGAAACACTACCCAACATTCTACTGAACTACAACCAGAATGTGAAGCATGGCCGGTGAAGGCGAAAAGAAGCCAGTGCTGGAAATGGTTAGTATTAAAATGTCTTGCACTTTTCCCAGTCGGCATAAAGCTTTATAGTTACGCTATTAAAAAAAAGTATGTTTGTAAGGAACATGTTCAGCTGGAAACCTTTTTGCCCGTCTCTTAACTCCTTACGTGGGCAACATAGCTACTAAAGCTAGCAAAACACAACCACGTGTCTTTTTTGAAGTCTCATCTATAAACGTATAAAATGTGTGTTTTTATGTAAAGCTAGGGTTTACGGCTTCTGAAACGTTACTTACCTTACCTACTTCGTTGAATAGCTGACGGGTTTTCCCACAGGGGGGCAGCAGTACTCAAACAGACCCCAGTGCTGCTCAATATATTGAACTGTATGAGGGACAAAAAATGGCTAAAGTATAAATAAAGAAATGAATGAATGTTGGGAGAAATGCATACAATAATGTATGAATAAATAATTAAATAAATGCATCAATAAATAAATAGAACTGATGCTTGCCATATAGTGAGATAATAAGTATTGCATGCATTAAAAATCAGTTCCCTCCCCAACTAACTACCCCCCCCCCCTCTTTCTAGAGTGTGATTTGATGTGTGGTGTAATAAGTGTCTGTTTTGTGTTTCAGGTCCAGGCAGATGGTGCTGATGAAGGATGTGTGACATTTGTGCTGCATGATGAAGACCATACACTGGGCAACTCCCTCAGATATATGATTATGAAGACGTCAGTTTCACGTTTTGTTCTCTAACTTCAGCTGAAGTAGACTTTTTAAATCTCAATTTCTCTTCCATTTATTTGATACCCTTCTGACTATTTTAAAAATCAAGTCCTAAGCTAATTCTATGCTCATTGTTTTTCTTCCTAGTCTGTCATGGTCCACTGGGATCAGTTAATATTGGAAAGATTGTAATAACACTGAAACAGCTCCACCCATTTGAAGCAAAACATTGATGATAATCTCCATTGTTGCTATCATCTCTCTGTTTTCCATCAGTGTGGATGTGGATTTCTGTGGCTACACCATCACTCATCCCTCTGAGAGCAAGATCAACTTTCGCATTCAGACACGAGGTGAGAGACACCCTGTAACTCCCAGCATCTTTTTTTCCTCTCTCTTCTTGCATTCCAGGTCAGTTTATCCGTGCCTTCATGCAGTGGACAGCTAGAGAGTCAACATGTAGTGGTTATAAAACAGAGGAAACATGCTGATTGGAGTCTGGTGCATTCAATTTGACCACTCAACCAAACAAGAAGAGCTGGTGGAACAGAAACATATGTCATCAGCTCTGGTCAAATTTCTCTAAAAACATCAGCTTCATCACATGAAAGACTGAGATAGCAGATGTTTTTTTTTGTTGTTCAAACTAAGGATTGGGATGCCTGTGGGACATAAAGAAACAACAATTACCTTTGAGGCTCAAGGAAAAACCCTGCTTCCCTCTGTGCTTTCAGATAATCTGTTTATTTGTAGTTTATATTTTCCACCGTGACAACAATGAAAATACATCTCTGTAGGGAGAGAAATGTATTTTAATACTTCATATTATTTGTATTACAATATTTGATTAATCAACTAGATGGTAATAAAAAGCTGGTCAAACATAGTCGTGTTTAGATTCAGTGCTCTGTTCTGAAAAAGATACTAAGTATGCAGGTTGTAATGAGAAACTTAAAGTAGGGTTAAGCCAAGATGGAAATATTCTGTAAAAGACTCTTTGAGCAATGAGTGCTTGTTTTGACTCAGGTTCCTTTTAGCGAAGCAAATTGTCGACCATTGTTTACACTCAAATCAGATTTAACTGGCAGGGATTCATGGGAGTTCCCCCCCCCCCCCTCCATCCAATCTAACTCTGCGTTGACCGCAGTGAAGACGCAGGGCGAAACCGACCTGAGGGAGAGAATATGTTTACTGGCTATGTATCCAAGTATAATTTACATGACATTTTTATCACAGCAGCACATACAGCAACAGTACGGCAGCTTTCAGAAGCAGCTCACGCTTCCTTATGCAGCGGTCTTTGACATAACATTTGGTGTTTCCACGCCAACAATAAAAATGTAGGCTCTATCATGGCAGCCGCAGCAACAAGACACGTCCCGTAACAACTATAACATTTTTGATTTCTCTGGCTTTAATAACTGTTGGGAAAGTTTGAGGTAATGTAAATACTCAACAAAAAAATATTCATGACGTGGGTTTATGCAAACATTCTAATGAAGGTCTACATATTGTTCGTTTAAATGTAGGTCATACGGTGCTTTTCACAGGCTTTATGATAAGTGAGTGAGAGGAAATTAATCTGTTATGATGGCTGCTGCCATCATCAGTGAATCCAACATTATAAGTGTTCAACTCAACTGTACAGGGCCAACACAGCTGCTTCTGGAGCAGGACGACAACTCAATATGTCCCAGTAACATTTCAGGTGCAACTTTGGTCTGTTTCAGGGGGACTTCCTGCCACAGAGCCTCTGCGGAGGGGTCTGAATGAGCTCAATGATGTTTGTCAACATGTTCTCAACACCTTTCAGGTAAGCCTCTAGGTCTGTTTGGGGCCCTTTTTTTACAGCCTCTCATCAGGAAACAATGTTCAGTAGTCATTAAGTATTGATTTTAAGGCTTAGCTGTTCATTCAGTTTATTATAAATGTAATATAGTGACCACATCAGCTCTTAAAAAGAACTTGACATTTATAACAGTATATTTTACTATAAAGCTACCCCATGCCTTGATTTAAGATGAACATGCTTATATGATTCCACTTTTAACGTTCACGATCATTCACGATCAAAGTCCTCTAAATTAGTTCAAAATGATTTTTGTTGTATTATTCCATTAGCTTTCTGTGGTGTTATATTTCATGGAGTCAATAACGCATCCGTTGTTTTGTACGCTGCTCTTGCCCAGATAAAAAGCTACTTCAAGGACACCTGGAACTTAATTTATTGTCGAGTGTGCTGCTTTTTTGACTGTTTAAATATGTGTGTGGCTCCTCCAGCTACCAACTAAATGAAAGTGCTATTTCAGAAATGATGATCAACTGTGTTTTAATTGATTTTAATATCATGAAAATACTTCAGTATGTTTTCTGATAAAGCAGTTGGCATTCTTTGACATTTGTTGAGATGTTTTGGTGACATTGAAGGACAACAGGGACACAGGAAACTAAAACCCTTTAAGTTCCGGCCTAGAGGTCTGGACTTTAACAGCTCTGGTTGAATAGATGTAGAAGTATGTGGTGATTTGCACAGGCATAGAGTAAGTCCTAATGACATCGATCAAATATGAGGTATTAGTAGGAAAAACAACCTTTTTCTAAACTGATACAGTTAAGGCTGTAAATGGACTTGAGCTTGTTTAGTGCTTGTCTAGTCTTCTGACTACTCAAAGTGTTTTTACACCGCAGGTCACACCTACACATTCACACCCTGATGGTAGAGGCTGCTGAGTAAAGAGACCATCAGAAGTAACTAATCCCACACATTCATACACTAAAGACAAAGCAGCAGGAGCAACTCAGGGTAAAATGTGTTGCAGGAGCTGGGAATCAAACTCCCAACCCTTTGGTTGAGAGACGACTGACTCTACCACTGAGCCACAGCCGCCCTGTGTGTTTTAAGCCATCTGCCAAAATAGTGTTTTCAGAAACTAATATGTGCATTTTGGCCTCGCTGTTTTTCTTAATCTAATCTAATCTTTTCCATTTAAAAATGTGAAGTCAATCATTCAAAAATAAGGTGGTGTGATGGAGCCACTCATCAATGTGTCACAAAGTGTCTCAGTGTTAGGATTTGTGTAAGGTACATGATGGAACACATTCAAACCCAGATTTTTCCAGTTTACAGACAATTCACACGTTTACATTTTCATTTGATTCACGACCAACATCCAGCTTATCCTTGGCAGTAGTGAAAGCTGGAGAAGTGAGCAGGAAGCGTGATATGTGATTCTCCTCTGTCAGCAGTCTGCAACTTCTTCCATGCTGCAGGGTCTCATATCCCGCGGGTATGAAAAGCAAGCAAACATAATTTCCACACATGGACGGATATTATTTTCGTGCGGGATACAGGAAGAACCTTGGATCCTCTGCTTGGCTCACTATAGAAGCACTACGCTGACAGAAAAATCAGCCAGCACTGCTTTAACACGCCCCACACGCTCACAACTCAACCTCTTACTACATGTTTTTTTATTTTGTTCCAGGCAAGAGTTAATGAATTCAAAGATGGTCTGGAGCAACCCATGGAATGAGGAGCATGACGCATGTGTGCCAATGAAGCTGTCAAGACACACTTTGTAAAAACTAACGATGTCATGTGGATTTGTCCTCTTTTTTTTTTTTATATCTACTACTTAGAGAAGGAAAAGTTCTCCTTAAAATAGTTCAATCGAATTCCAATCCGAGTATTTGTACTTTTTTTTTTATATGATGTCAAATTTATGTTTCATTGTTGTGCATGATAAATGTTTATCAGTCCCGTGCTGATTATTCCCACGTTTTTGGAAGGAGTAATAAAAGACAGTTAAGACATGAAACTTGGCCAGCAAGACTTTCATTTCCTTCCCTTTTTTAATTTCATGAAAAGACTTCCAGAGAACAGCACTCATGCATTATTACCATAACAAGGATGTTCAAATCTAAAGTGATGACTCTGGAGGACCAAATTGCTCTCATCTGTCTTTGAGGCGATGTTCGAGGTGTAAAGGAAGAAGAAAGTTCGTATTAGCAGAGGAATGTGTCGAGAGGGATTTCATAAAGTGGCAGGAAGACGGAGAGGAAAGATGAGGGAAACCAAGGGTAAATAATGAGGTCAAAGTTATTTGAGGTCACTGGTCTGTCTGCTAGTCACATGTTTATGCTCGGGCCACATTGGCTGGTACAGAACAAAATGTTGGCAAAAACAGCCTCTTACCACGACTCTAACTTAACAGACCACGTGTGGCTATTATGGGAAATAGGAGCTAATCAAGAACACCACATCAGTAAATGTTTTTTATACAAAAGAACCTGATAAATAACCTTTCAAAACAATATTTGAAATTGGAAATCTATTGCTGAGTAAATCTCTCAGAGCGAAGTGAGAAACAGAAAAATAAGAACATCCGTTGCACCACAATATGTTTCAAAGTGAACTTATTTACTTCAAACAAGCCACCATGTCAGCGCCTGAAAGAGAGAATTTATTATATCTAATAAAAAAACACATCAGGGGTGAGCTCACCACTTGAATGTTGTGTGCACTGAATGATTTATCCACAGTGGCACACACACACTGAAGCCCCGCTGTCATTAAATTAACCAGAAAATAATGTTTAGTAATGCGCCATCATGATTGATGTGTTCCTGTTGCAGTTGTCACTGCGCCATAGAGCTCAGAGTTTGTGTTATTGAGCGGTTAAGGCCCTCGCTCATAAAAAGTTTGATTTGAAACACATCAACTTACGTCTACATTTGGTTCAGCAGGTCAAAGGTTAAATCCTCCAAACCCTCCAATAGCTGGCTTATCTTTTTAGATTTTTTTAAAATCTAAAGCTGTCATCCATGCATTTTTACTTAATGGATCAAAAGCATTTGATGTTCTGAGGGTTTTATTTAAACTGCTTTGAGGTTTACTGAAGCAGACATGAAGATGTTTTATTTTCATCCTCTGTGGACAAAGTGTCTTGTCCTTCAGTACCTGTCCAGGATAAATCTACTGCTCTGTTTTCTCTGATGTTCTGCTCACTGTGAAGTTTTACCAGATAAATGTTGATAAAAGCTCTTTCAGTCAGTTGAATCTGACCCCAGTGACAGCGGTGACATGCATTCAAAAGAACCATAAATGTGGTGCTTTCATTTTCATTAGTGGGTCGTAAAAAGTTGTTATAAAACAAGTCAGTTTCATAACCAGTTGAGAATTCCTCACATTAAGTTTAATTCAGCATGTATTTGACCTGATCGTTGCTGTGATGAACTACTGCAGCCACTTCTGTGAGGTCTGATTGACGTCAAGGGGAACCAGTGCTCATGTCTTCTAACATCAGTAAACCTCAAAATCCACGAGTACCTCTGAAGCAAACTGAGAAGGTAAGGTATCATTATCAGGTTGGCTTTTTTCCAAGAAACATTTTTACTGGGTGAAAAAAAAAACGTCACATGGATGTTTGTAAAACATCTTTCCTGATAGTTGATCAGCAGTTATCTCTGTGAACTGGCTTCTGGGAACTGGCACCCTGAAACTAATGCAGTTTAAGCAATCATCCCAAACAGGAAAACACTTGTAAAAAAAAAAAAAAAAAAAAAAGGTCATATGACATGTTTTTCCTTGGACGATCTTTCCAGGAAATGAGATGCTAACCAAATGTCACCTTAAATAGTGGTAGAGTAATGACAGGTGACATCATATTAAACCTTGGTAAATAACAGAACCTTTTTATGTTCACCGCCGTCAAGAGTGCCAGTGTCTTATACCACAGCTCATCTCTTTTTTTAAAGGATTAGTCAAGGTTTTTTATTTTTAAGTATGTGTTCAACGGACCTCATACACTGATACACAAGAGTTTCCGAAAATTTTCGATCCCTTGAAGCGAAGTCTGAAGACTCTAAAAATCACAGAGGAGGCTACACTAAGGTGCGCTGTGTAGTTTTCTTGCACACATCTCTTTTTTTTTTCATGTTTAGCCTCGCTCACCTACAAAGCAGTGTATTCTGGAGCCTTCATCAATATATTTGGTGCATTTTCTTCCTCATGAAAAAAACCTAAAGCCGAATTTTAAATAGAGCCCTGAGTTGGTTCAGCCAGAATAAGGTAGTCCTGCCCGCAAGCGGCCACCAGCTGATCTGAGAACCGCCCCAATGCCAACCAATCATTATCACACTCTGACAACAAGGCGGCCTATTTACACTATTCTGCCTCTCACTCCTCCTGCATCACACCTCCTCTGCTTGGTGGATTGCTGCATGTCTTGGGTTATTACTGCCACACCTCCTATAATGCAATAATAATAGTGTAACACTACTGCGATAGGAATGTGTACCATGGGATGGAGCATATCCAGGCTGTGATTGGCCCAGAGGGGACAGTCACTCCACAGGCACCAATTAACCTAATGAATATGTCTTTTGGGTTGGGGGAGCTGGAGCAAGGGGACCCACGCACACAGCCACCAGGGACAACTTAAATTGATATAATAAAGCGACCCGCTGCCAGCAGATTTGAAACAGAACCTGTCCTGCTGTGAGGTTACCGACACTTCACCCTGCCGCCAACCTCGACTTTTGTCAGTAATTATGAGTGTACATTATTAGAGACCAGAAACGACCTTAAATAACACTCACAGTATGTATAAAGCTTAAACAAACTAATACTTTAATATCATATTTACAACCATAGCTTGGAGGTTTCCTTCCTACAGACAGGCACAGGGCGTCTCACATCTTCTCGTACACAGTTACTTTAACATGGATGATGACATATAGCTTTGCATCAAGTTTTTAATATATACAGAATCATTTCTAAGAACAAATATTTGTATGTGAATGCAGCATCTATAGATAAGGCATGATAGTCTGGTATCAGGGGAGTTCTGGTTTAGGGCTGTTTATAGTCCAAGTAGTGTTTTTTTTTTTTAGTTTCAGAAGAATTTGGTTTCAAGCAGGACACTGTCTGAGAGGACACCGGAAGAATCTGAGCACATCGGCTGAAATGTAAGCCAGGAACCCAATTTGGCATCTGGAGTCGCTCACAGGACTGTAAACAATGACTATCACACAGAGAAGAGAGTTCTGGCATGGATATCTGTAATTGGGATATCTGCGGACAAAACTGGTAACCCCACAAAATTGGCCATTTCCTCTACAGGCAGTATTGTTGTCAGCAGTATCAAATGAGTTCTGAGATTGAACGCTACATGATGAACCAATAAGAGTGTTATTACAAATCCTTATTCACTTATATAGTATATTACATTCAAAATAATATTAAAATGCTTCAGGGTAAAAATAAACACTTTCAATTCTAAACACAAATGTGGCTTCAAAAGAATATGTCAGTTTTACTTAACCATAATACAGAGACATTTTCTCTGAGTGTTTTCACCCCTCGTCATTTTTCATTCAAATAAAATCACTCTCTCTAAAAACTTTTATTACATTCAAAGCAAACAAAGGATATACCTAAATAACTTTTATAACCATTATGTAGAAAAAGAAATCTTCAAACCTCCACTAAAATATAAATTCTTAAGAACAACCAGCTGCACAGGATTGTGGTCCTTCCTTTCTTAAAGCTTATAGGTGGATCAACTTTAGAAAATGTATTCCTTAAGCAGCTGTAAGAAGTCGTTTCTGGAGTAATTTCCTGCCACAGGAACATCTTTGTAACAGGACCAGGGAGGAGTGATGGAGGTGAAATGTTTGGAATCATAAATAGATACCTCGTGTGGGGAGTAAACAGGCTGAAGTGTTTCGTGATATTTTCTTAGAAAAATAGAAGCTACACCGTCACATGTGAGGGTGAGCGTAACATTCTTTATCCAAAGTGGAAACCATGTATAACAGCATAAGCACTGCACAAATAATAAAGGTTGAATAGTGACCTTCTCTGTGTAGCATCATGGGAATCATCTGGTATCTCTCAGCTTTCTTGGACAACAGCTGCCCTCCATGTGACCACTCAAAGCAGCCATGATTCTCAAGATAACAGATGTTCGATGTTTGACTCTCCCCATGGCTGTTAGACACAGTGGGGCCCATTTTACTCTGGTATGATGTCGCTGGGGTGCTAGAGGGAGCTCAGTGACATCACGCAGTAATGAACCAGCTAATGACCAGTTGAACAGAAGGTTTCCCTCTTTGCTTCCCTGTGATGTATGGAAAAACACCCAACAGTAAGCTGTTACTCATAAATGAAAACTAAGACTAGATATGAACATGTGAATAATCCTGTACATACATTTACACATGGCTTGAATAAACATTCCTTTTAAATGTAATGTCCATGAGCATAGTGCCAGAACACAAACAGTACGTCGCTCCATGTTCCCCTCGTCTTCAGGATCTGTTAGGCAGCGATACGGCTGATTTCCCATGTCAGAAACTGCTAAGAACAGTTTTTAGGTTTTGGGCAGAATATGAGTGTTATATATGCGTCTGTGTTTTTATGAAGAGCTTGTGTATTTCTGACTGGAGCGGGAGCTGGAGCGGTCTAGTCCATTCCCGTTACAGGAGCCCTTCCAGCGTGCCCCTGACCCCGGTCCATCAAGGGGAGATGCTCTGTAGCACCAGCAGCACAGGCAAGACTGCAAGGCAAGAACACACACACACAATGAATGGCCTTGGTTTACTGGTGTTATAAACAAGCCTGGACTTTTATTGCCAGTTTGTGCACTCTTACCTGGAAGCAGTTTTTAAACTTCTGGCTGACAAAGTAGAGGGCAATCGGGTTAATGCAGGAGTTGAGGGAGGCCATGTTGATGCCAATGTAATCCATCACTAACAGGAAGCTGGCAGGGAAAAGAGCAAAGTTAGGGGTGAAGACTACAGGAAGCTGTAGAGCAGAGAACAATGGGTCTTTATGAAGTTTGCGGTTTATTTGCGTCGCTTCTGCGTGCCTACCTGAGCAGTTCACAGCGGTTGGGGTCATTTTCGTCATAGATTGTTTTCTTCAGAATTCGGCTGAGATGAAGGGGCAGCCAGCAGAGAGCAAAAATCAACACCAGGCAGAACACTGTCTTCGCTACTTCCCTCCGCTGCACACACAAAGAGACAATGATGAGTGTCACTGACTGCTGCTGTCTCATTGTGCCAGTTATAGTAAAAGGAGCACTGTAGTCATCCACATGTGTACCTGCTTCATGTGGTCATTGAGTGCGATGCGCATGCCTTTTTTGCGGCTGAGCATCTCACAGGACATGAGTGTGTAGAAGATCCCTGTGCAGGCTAGTGGGAGGCAGAAGTAGAAGCCAAACAGCCACCAGTCTTTCGCGTCCTGGTAGAACTGGAAAAAAAAATAAAAAGACTTTGTGAAAAGATGCCAGAAAAATACAACTGTTTCTGAAGTTTCCTAAAAATATATCTATTGGATTTATCCTGTCAGGCTGAAACTGATGCTGTGGATTTTCTAGGTCTCTTGCCTTAAAATGCTTCAATAAGTCTCAGAGCTCCACAAAGCTCTGTGAAGTTTCTTGTTTTAAATCCACTCTGATCCTGTATTTGATCATGCCTATAAACCCCTCTATTTCAGCCCTGTTCAGAACAGAGTGTTTCTGTGTCTGTAGCTTTAAATATGTAAATGAGCTGTGTCTGACCATGCCCCCTCTCTGGAAGGGCTTGGGTGTCACGGGCTTTCTCGCTCCATCCACCGTGTTTACCATGAGAAGGCGGGTTTGTGATGTCATGAAAGTAAAATCTCCAAACGGCCTGTTTGAGCACACATTTTCTGAAAAGTGGAGCAGGTAAAAGATGGAGAGGATTAACTTTTCTCATCATTGGGGTTTGTAAACAAACCATGGTCAAATGTATTTAGCATTATATGTGATGTGACCAAGTTTCTGCAACAGTATTTTTTATTTTTTAAATAACTGTAGCCAAATTATTGAACTAAGACAAAGCCAACCTTCAAATTATATCCATCAAAACAGTTACATGTCTTTTTTAAATAACACAAGCAATGAGGTATGTTCCATTATCCGTCTGATACATGGGAGGATTTTTAAACCTTCATTTTGTCAAATTTTTACATTTATTTTTCTTTACTGTTACCAATATATAACCTATACCACAAACAAAACGCAAACCAAAGTGGATTCTTTAAACATAATGGCCTGTCAAGACCCTAGTGCAATTTTATAATTGATTTAAATATCAGGGGGTTCAGACTGGATCTAGCACACATCTCTCCCTCTAAATATGATGGTAATTCATTCACTGAGGGTCAGAATTGTTTGTGTCGGTCACAAGTAGTACTTTTGCACAAATGCAAAATAAGCTTTTGAGCAATTCAATGACATTGATTCAAATGACCAGTTCTTTTCAAAGTAATCTCAAGCTGGTCCTTTAGCTAACCACATCAGGACAAAAGTACAATCCACCAATTTCAAATTACACTTGATAAATGACCTCTTCCTTATTTCCACATAGACCTGTATTTCTTTAGACCCCTCTGATTTAAAATACGTTAAAGTGTTCACACATTGGAAGTGGATTTGAGAATGTCACGTTGAGATGATTAAGACATTTATCACTTATTGGCCCAGCTCGACAAGGAACAAAAAGATCCTGATTAAATACAAAACTAACTGTATGTTTTTGTTGAAGCGCTGAGCTTTAAAGTTCAACGTTTGTAGTTGAAAGTAACATCAGGTGCAGGCTGAACAACATCCCAGAGTCTTTGTAAACTTGGCTTTGATAAAGAGATCTAAATTAGAGAGCAGGATATTTTCACCACATGAGAAAACAATAACATTACAAGCAGCCGCTATCAAACATGTTGATTTGATATATTGCTGCAGTTTGTGCCAAGCAACAGTTACACTGATCATATTTCTCTAGAGGGAATGTGAAGTATGCAGCTGTTTGATTTTATTAAGCTGTTAGTCATTTCATTAGGTTGACTCGCATTGATATTTCAGATTTCTTTGTGCTGTTTTTCTTTCTTATTTCTTAAAGTGATTATCTCTTGATCTACATTCTGTCAGGATGTGAACGGTAATTACTCCAGCACGTTTATTTAGAGTTATTCTATTAAAGGAAGAATGTGTGACTTTTTTGATCCAGTAGTCGCCTTGAGCACCAGCATTAAACCAAAACAAAGTGCAGTTTGGTGACACCTCCGCTATTCTGAAACCTCCACTCTCCTCCACTCTCTCCTCTCCTATACTCAAGGCCGTCCTGTCCACATAAACATGATGTAAACACAGCTCTGACAACAACACAGCTGGCTGAACTCGAGCTTCTCACTCATCGTAGACAGTCATGACTCAGAGACATGTAAAGGGGTTATATTTGATTTCTGTTGTATTTATGTGTAAAATGTTGCACATTCTTCCGTTAAAGAGATACAGTAAATACAGACCTGGTGCTCTGAGGATGAAGGATGACTTCTTCTCAAGCACAAGCAAGGTGGAAAAACTTTTTCTTTTTTTTAATAGCTGACAAAATCAAACAGAACTTGTTGTACGCCACCATGTAGAACAATATGTTGTTGATTATATTGCCAAACAACTGTATGATAAAGTAAAAAACAAAATAATGTATTGTTCGATGTAACTACCCAGCAGTAAATAATGACACTACAAGTAACTCCATCAGCTACAACACCTTCTTGTTTCTTACACAACAAAGCAGCAGAAATATGAACCCACCACAGTATTGTTAAATAATATAACACTGACTGATTTTTGATACAAACAGAATATTTGGCTGAATCCATAGTCCTAATTTTACTTTATATTTATATGAAGTGCCTTTACTAACGAAATATTTGAATATTGTGGTATTATTGTCTTACTTAATAGCACCTCTATGCTTCCTCTATCACTGTTAAAGGGTTACATTCTTATCAAGCAACTACCTTCATAAAGCTGGAGGTCTGTTCTGGAGGTAGCATACACACACGCAGCTTGTTGCCTCTGTACGGTAGCTCCAGCATGTCGAATGCCAGCGCCTCAGGGACAGCCAGCGCCACAGCAACCAGCCAGATCAGAGTCACCTCCGCTGCTTTCCACAGAGGGATCCCCATGCCCTTCACCCTGCTCCATGATGTTACTGCATGGTAACTATGCAGACACAGATAGATGCATTAGTTTTTAGACCTTACATATGTCATGTGTATGTAGAGTGTGTGTCCACTTACCGGTCAATACTGAGAGCGCACAAGCTGAGGACAGTGATTCCAACTGAAGCTTTCTGGATGAACGGGAACAACTTGCAGATGTACACACCAAAGGGCCAGTCCTCCGCTATGAGCTGCAGGGAAGAATCAAGAGGCAGACATCTGCAATGAGTTAAGCGACATGGACAGACATTTTTGAGATTCTTTCTTGTGTCTTTTATCATGACTGCATAAAACTCTAGCCAAAATTTACAGCCCTTTGTTCTTCCACGATGCTTAAGTCCTTTTCCTGGAGGCTTTAAAGTCAGTTCAGGATCAGTACATTGTGTTCAACAACTAAACTGGAAATGTATGCCATCATTAGTGCTTGGCTGCCACTCATGGAAATGTACAGTTTTATTATCAACTAGAGCTGCACCATAAATCAAATTGTCATAATTATGACAATATGAGCATTCACAAAGGTATAGCTTAAGTATCTCTGGATCTTGTTGTTTATCAGTGAGGGTAGGGTGGACCGTGAGATAGACAGACGGATGGGTTCAGTGTTGGCAGTAATGCAGGCATTGTGCCAGAGCGTTGTGGTGAAGAGGGGCAAAGCTCTCGATTTACCGGTTGATCTTCGTTCCGACCCTCACCTATGGTCATGAGCTATGGGAAGTGACCGAAAGCATAAGATCGCGGATACAAGCGGCCGAAATGAGTTTCCTCTGGAGGCTGGCTGGGCTCAGCCTTAGAGATAGGGTGAGGAGCTCGGAGTAGAGCCGCTGCTCCTTCGCATCCAAAGGAGTCAGTTGAGGTGGTTTGGGCATCTGATCAGGATGCCTCCTGGACGCCTCCCTTTGGAGGTTTTTTACGGGTACGCCCGACTGGGAGGAGACACCGGGGTACACCCAGAGTTCGCTGGAGGGATTATGTATCCCGTCTGGTCTGGGAACGCCTCGGAATCCCTCAGGAGGAGCTGGAAAACGTTGCTGAGGAGAAGAAAGTCTCGGACCCGACCTCTGATAAGCGGAAGAAGATGGATGGATGGATGGACAAACGTATAGCAGGAAAAATCAATTAATCCCCAAAAATGTAGAAAAAAAATTCAATTCAAAGCAGCAATTCCCTCAGCATGTTCATATTTTACCTGTTGGATAGAGGCCCAGTTATAATGGCCACTTTTAACACCAGGTTGATGCAGTCAGATGATTCTATGTTTTTTTCATATCGCAACTTTAACGCAGGAAGAAAATAAATCGAGATGTCCGTTTTTTCCAGGATCGTGCGGTCCTGTTATCAACGCCATGCTGTATGACTTTCTTATTGACAAAACCATGCCTGTTGTCAATTCAGCAGATGCTGTTTCTCATTATATTATCATCCTTTAAATCTCTTAATCTCATCATGTTTTCAATTACAGTTTGGGATTTTCATAAAAATCGGAAATGTATGACCTTTTAGACAAGGGAAATAAAGATCAGAGTGACTAATGCTCTGATTGGCCATGATAAAACGCAGCACAACAGTCCAGCTGACCTCAGTGATAATGGATCCAATCAGATTTGGGAAACAAGGCCAGTTTCACACATCACGAGTTTTGTGGTTACAGTTTGAGTTTCAGGTTTGTGATCTGATTTGTTCTTACATCCTGCTGAATGTTTTCATTGCACACTTACAGAGTCACTTTTGAAAACAATGACAGCATTATTTCTTCGGCTCAAGCTGCCCATGACTTACGGCTCACACCTTCTTTAGATTTCTTTTTAGTGTGAATGATCCCTTGTGGTACAGGTGGAAAAGCCCGAACAGTCTTTACTGCCAAATGAAATAAAGAAAACCACAGAGAACACACCAAATGGAGCGACTCCCCACAGAAATTAACTTGTTGAAAAACCACAGCTAACCACAAAGGCTGCGCCAAGAAAGCAGTTGCAAACAGCCCTCTCATAGTATGTGATGCAGTGCAATGCAGGCATTGAGATTCAAGTCGCAATGAAATACAGTCAAAAAGAGGAGTGTCTAACTGAGGCCACGAGTTTTAAATTAAATCATTAAAGTTTTGTTTTTGCCTGAAGTATGAATGAATTATTCTTTTTGGATTGACGTGAGTATGAAATGTTTTCCTCTGTTTTAAAAAGTCATGTATCTTTGACATGCAGACGTCATTATAACAATCAGAAGAAACACCAAAACAATCTCGTTCTTACCTTAAACACATTGATGGGGATGGCGATGATAATGTACAGCAGATCCCCGAGAGCCAGGCTGCCAATCAGGACATTTGGTCCGTTCCTCATGCACTTGTTCTTATATATGATCCTGAGCAGCGAGGAGTTTCCGATGATCCCCACCACAAAGATCAGGCAGGACACGATGGTGTTCACATACTTGAAGGCGTGCTTGATCTCTGTGGGCTTTATGCACATGGGAGGGAAGGACCCCCTTGGCCGGGATGGCAGAAGGGGGGGTATTGGGACGGAGGCGTTGTTCTTGGAGGGTTCTGAAGCCTCGAGGCTGTTCTGGGAGTCCCGAGCAAACCGGGACGCTTCGATCTCAGCTATGACCAGGAGACACATCAGAGCGACGGACCTCATCTTCGCACTCGCACAGCACGATGTTCTCTCACTCAAAGGCACAGTCAATCTCAGGATCACACTTAAAGGCACTCACACACACATATTCGCACACTCACATACATCTACACACAGGGCCTTGCTCCTGACCTGGCAGCGTAGGTCGGAGTTGTTTGCCCTGCCGAGAGAGAGAGAGAGAGAGAGAGAGAGAGAGAGAGAGAGAGAGAGAGAGAGGGAGAGAGAGGATGAACCATCACATTACACCACCAACACAAAAACAAAAGTGTATCTCACAAACTACTGGATAAATAAGCATGTCGTTTTGTACAGGCATTCATGATCCCCAGCGGATGATTTCTCTGGAGACTTTTTGGTTCTGTGACCATTAGGTCAAAGTTTTCACCTGTCCTGTGTAATATCTTAAAATCATCACAATGGAATTGCACAGAATCTTGTTCTGAAAATCAGCGTTTATAAAAAATTAATTCTAATGACTTTGGTGATCCCTTTGCGTTCACTTGAACAACAATACTTTGTTATGAGTAAGAAGTCCTGGCATGTGCAGAAAAAGGGGCTTGAGCACCTTCCCCTTTCCCATCTTTGGAGAAATCCCCTTTTTAAAATAAATAATCTCCTGTTTGCCGAGCTGTCAGACCTAACAGATAGATCTGGTTATATGTCAGGTTAGGAGATATGTGATACAGGCCACTTATATATCCTCTTTTGTGCTGCAGCAGTGAGCAGACGCAGGAAATCTTGCATGTATAGGCTCTCCATCGGGGTTACAGCAGGAGAAGTCGAGATGTTTAGAAGTGGAAAAAACACAACCACGTCCACAGACAGACAGACAGCTGCAGATGATGAAGAGAGACAGAGAAGCAGCAGAAGTTGATAAAAGATGAAGGATCAGCAGATGTCGAGAGACTAAAAAGTTCAGACTCTACTGATAAAACTATCTGATAAATCCTGCGATTATTAAAAACATGGTTACCTAAAACATTTTGTAATTTTACAACAATCTAATGAAAAACAAATTCAGTTCACCTTTTATCCAAAACTAATCATTCCATGTTTAATGATAGCAGATGTGCATCCTATGTGAGGAATTGGTATTAAACATGTATTTGAATATAAATAAAGTGCCCACAGTGCACAACATGGTATCAAAATAGTGATTAGTATTCAAAAACTCCTCACCTAAAAAGTCCCCCTAATTCTTCAAATCCCAGCAAATTGTAGTAAACTAGATATCAGATCAATACATCTGGATCACTGCGTGGTAAAGTGGTACGGACTGAATGAAAAAATACACTTTTTATCAGAACATATGTTCAACTAATTAGATTAGACAGCGTTGTACCATGGAATAATAATAATATTACAAATAACGATTAAAAATAAGGAGGAACTAATGCTAACCAACACGCACAGAATGTCAAGGTGCATTAAAAAAGCATCAAAATAAAGCAATTTATATTTCAACAAAGACTCAAGGGGGCGTAGAATCCCTTAGGTCTGGTCTATACTGTGTACAAAAACAACCCATGATGTCATTACATCTTAGCACATTGTCTTCTATGTAAAATCATATGATCAGCTGTGTGCTGGGTAGTGTTGAATTATGGCATGAGATATACATTATACTACTTGAAGTACTCTCGGTCATGAGTTTGTTCTGAACACATTTCTATTCTAATGTTCCTTAAAGAGTGTTACGATAGTTCAGGTGTAAATCTATTTAACCTTTAGTGAATATAAACACCTCCCCTCTGAAATCTCTACACGCCTCAACAGTGTTAACAGCTCTGATGGAATGTATGACAACCGGTATGTTTGTGTCGCCCCTAAAAAACAAGTCATACTTTGTATTTTCTCTGATCCCTCTACCGTGCCAACATCATCATCATCATCATCATCATCATCATCATCATCATCATCATCATCATCATCCTCATCATCATCATCTTTATTGCCAGACTCAGTAGTCCATTAGAAAACGTATGAAAAGACAAACAAACAGAAAAAACGTCACCAGTCTTATAAACGTCAGCTGTACCAGTGGGGCCACAAGGATGACTGGTATCTCACAGACCTATGACTGGGATTTATCAGCAGCATAATATTGGAGTTCTGAGAATCATTCAATCGGCAAATTGAGCCCGACCGATTAATCGGCTGATATTAGCATTTTAAGTGACTATCGGCATCGGCTAATTTAATCTCCGATTTGCGCAGATATTACGAGATTTATTCGCCAGTGAAATATCATTTAATTTGAATATCATTGTATTACACTAGCAGTTCTGTTTCACCAGCAGAGGGCGCTATATGGATTACAACAAGTATCATCACTCTCCAGAGAGCCAAGAGGTGATGCACGTACATGCCCGGTTACTTTCCCGTTGCGTCACCATCTTTTCCACAAGTGTTTCAGAACCGCATTTGAAGGTTCAAGGCTATAAATGTGTGTTTTTATATCTATTTATCTCTAAAGATCAAAAATAGAAAGATATTGGCCGATTTATCGTATCAGATTTTTCTTCTCTCCCTAATATCTGTATTGGCCACAGATATCTAATATCAATTGGGCCCTAATTTGTTCATCAAGTTTCTCATAAGAGCCTGACAAGTTTTAACTCCTACATTACAAACAGCTCACTTGCACTAATCCATCGAGGTTTTTTAAACTTTTAGTTTTTGTAAGCTTGCCTTTTTAAACCTGGCCCACAAGGGGGCCATCATCAGGGTTCACTTTTTAATGTGCAAAATGTCGGCCTCAGTAGTACAGGGGGGTCACACTCTTTGTCAGGAACATATAAATGTTGAAGTGGAGAGGCAGTTTAAGAACAGCAGACAAACTAGTTTGTCAATCAACATTTGACTTTCATTTAAAAAAAATCATTAAACAATTAAATTATTTTACACAAAAGTGAAAAAGTATTAATAAAAGGAGAGGAGGCGAAATGAAAAGAGCAGTAGACTGTGAAACAGACAATTGGAGACGACTGTGGTTAGATCAGGAAAAGCACTTTCCTGTGTGTGTGTGTGTGTGTGTGTGTGTGTGTGTGTGTGTGTGTGTGTGTGTCTCTATGCTTGTCTGTATGTGTTTCTGTGATTGTGCTAATGGCTCTCTCAGAAGACCCTAGTTAGCCTCTTCCAAGAGTCATGTGTACTCCCAAGAATGCCCTGGGGCGCCTCTAGGGATAAATGGGCTTATTGATGAGGGTGGCAATATCTGTAGAGACATGCTAACAGGTCCCACAACTACGCACAGACACACACAATGGCTTCATTTCAGAGTGGGATGTGCAAACCTTCTTGACACCATAAAAAGTTTGGGGTCAAATGCTTGGTTTGATTTGACTTCTTTCTCATCACATATAAAACAAAAAATGACACTACAGCAGCATATGGCACCCACATGCACTGATGTTAACATCTGCTCCTGGTTCATAAAGACATTGGCTTGTTCTGTCCACACACACACACAAAAAAACTAAATCACATGGATGAACTCACAGACATGTCACAAGAATCCATTTGGAAAGATTTGGCCGTGGGCCATATATGCTCTGTGTGTCATATGAATCATGTCTTTGTATTGGATAACATGGTAGGGACTGTGTTAGAGCAGGGCTGTCTGATCTGAGTTGAAAAGCTTATTTGTAATTGGGCTGATACTTTAAATCTAATATATTTTTCTTTGGAAACCACCTGCGACCTTAAGCTCTGCTGGCTTCACATCTTACAAAGAAGGATGTGGAAAGTTGGCAACAGACAGAGAAACAATGAGAGAGATACTAGCACTGGTCAGAAAATGTGTTTGCCTTTAAAACAAGGACACAGGAAGGGCAAAAAGGGTGTTAAAGGAAAATTTAAAAAAAACTTCACAGAATTCAGGAACAGGATGGCATAAAAACATTGAGATAAATGAAAGTTTACTTCTCCTGTTAGAGGAAGGCAACGGCAGAAAAGGAGGAGAGAGTTGAGAGCTGAAGTACAGAAACTGAGAGGGCAGGAGTCATGAGATGACCTGAAGGCATTTAGGAGGCAGTAAAAAAACGGCGATAACAGGAAGTCAGAGGGAGTGTGGTGAACTCGCAAGGCAAATGGATTCAATTTAATTGGAAACAATTGAGAAAATAAATTAATTGTAATCCATTATGACTCAACTTGACACAAAGCAATTTGCCGAGAAGTTACAAGATAAATGTGATTTATGACCCTGATGAATAGATTCATTAATAATCATGATGTTAAGGTGGCTGTAAAACATTTACACAAGACTTAAAGACCACGAGTGTTCTGTAGTAAATATATAAATATATATAAGTAGTTATAACAGATTGTTGAAAAACTAAAGGTCCTATTTTCATGACTGAGTAAAAGCAGAATGCACTCAAATTACAAATAATACATCATGCACTGTGCATCTATCTATAATCTATCTATCTATCTATCTATAATCTATCTATCTATCTATCTATCTATCTATGATCTATCTTGTGTAAGTGGAGTTTTACTTTTGCAGCTGCTCGAGGTGGTGTTTGTTTGAACTTTTATACACTTGCTTAGTCCAGTTGTTTTCCCCCCTAGGGGTCGGGTGCATCCAAAGGTTGAAAGATAAATATGCATTCAGGCCTACATTCATTTTTTACTTGAACTTTTTTCTTCTAAAAATCTTGAATATGGTTTTGTGTGTGGTTTGTGTGTGTTTTTTGACAAAAGGTAAGTGTCTGTGTTATTTTATTTCCCATGTGTTCACTTTGAAAAAAAAACAGCAACACCTTATGGTCATTAAAGGAATGATACACGTGTGTGAAAATGCAAACATCTGTGCACATACTATTCAATCTTGGTATTAAAGATGGGGGAATTTAACTTTAACTTAAAATGGAAAAATACAAGATGAGTTTCAGCTCCACTGCACCTAAATACACAACTGTGACAGTTTAAGTTTATAGACTTATTTTTGATTCTTCGTCAAGGTGTAAAAAATACTTTTTCTGCCAGTTCTCTGGAGTTAAGTGGGCGGCATTACCTGTAGAGTCATGCCAATAAATCCTGGACAGCGGTGCATGAGAGAGCCTGTGAACTGAGCACAGGTCCAATCTCTTGATTTAAACATTTTAGTTTGGACAGATATCATCCGTCATGAGCCAGGTTTTAACCCTCAGAGAGCTGCAAGAGACCAACGCATATCTGCACAGATCTGCAGGGCATGATATCAAAGAGTGATAAGATGAATACATCAGCAATGTCAGACTGTGATGCTGCTATAGAGCAGGACTGCTCTCCAAAATGAAAACTGTATGTGTGTGGAATAAGACCTTAGAATGGAATAAGACAGATAGACGGACGGACGGACGGACAGACAGACAGACAGACAGACGGACAGACAGACAGACAGACAAATAGATAAGATAGACAGACAGACAAACAGATAGATAGATAGATAGATAGATAGATAGATAGATAGATAGATAGATAGATAGATAGATAGATAGATAGATAGATAGATAGATAGATAGATAGACAGATAGATAGACAGATAGACAGACAGACAGATAGATGGATAAGACAGGCAGACAGACAGACAGACAGACAGACAGATAGATAGATAGAATAAAAGTTTTTCTCCTTTAGTCTGACCCTCATGACCTGAGAGTTTGCACTGCGGGATAACTTAAGTCTTGTGGTCACGGTTAGCCTATTCTTCTCAAAGTGCAACACAATGGTACCACTCCTCGAATAGATAACTTGACAATAAAGTTCTGAATTCAAACCTACCTCGCCGCACAAGTGTGACGAGGTCACAGCCAAAGACTTCCGATGAATAATCCTTGAGTTGTTCCTGTGTTCTGTCCTGAATAATCACAGGTTTCTTTGAAAAGTTGTAGCATCGAAACGTTCACGGTGTGTCCAGTGCTTCCCGCTGTGCTTCAGGGTCCTCTGCTCCCTCCCTCGGCTGCTCTCTCTGACTCACAAGAGGGACGGCTGGCTTTTTTATACGCACGAGCCGGGAGGCTGCAGAGACAACCAATCAGATTTCAGCACACCAGCATCTTTCCCTCTTTCCGTCAGGACGCGGGCATGGACTTTTTTTTAAATACGGTTCTTGAAAATGTGAAGGACTCCACCAGAATTCAGGCTTTCCAGCTCTCTTTCAAAACCATTAAATATGGCTCTAGTATCTCTGGCTGATGACGCAAACACATTAGGTACAAAGAGGAGATGTAAGAGGAGTGGTCTCCCCTGGCGTGTTATCATACTTCAATGGGACACCGCTGTCATGTGAATGATTCAGCCTCCAGGTTTTTCCTGCAGCATCTTACTCCAAAACACAAGATACACACACTCTCTGATATATGCTCTATCAAAGCACTCGGTTTTTATTTCTTCAAATGTATGACTACAGTTAGGTGATCTAATTGGCTGTAAAAAGAAAAGTAGTTTTTGTTTAATCACGACTGAAAGTGCCTTTATAAAGCTCTGTTCCAATCATTGATTGACTCAGCTCGCCTCCAAAAACATCACCTGTTCATCACCAGGCTGCTGTTCCTTTTCTAAAGAAGTCATTTTAGCATGTGCTGTTTAAAAAAAAAAAAACATTTCACAGTGTGTTCATGGCCTTCTGCTTCTTTTGAATGTTTTTTTATTATATTATGAATTTGTAGGCATTACTGACGACGAATGAGTTCATTTTGTTAAACAGTGGTGCTAAAAAATTACATCTATATCCTAAACTTTTATTAGATTATGTTTGTTTGTCCTCTTTATTGTCCATATTGTGCAACTGATTTAAATGATTAACATATTTTAAAGCTGCAACTCACTTATTGTCACAGAAACAGATGCTTGCATGTTTGTGTTATTCTCTGAGATGGTCTTTCCCACTATCACTTGGTTATTAAATGTTAGATAAGCTGCAGAAATCAACATTTCAAAACAAACTTACTCATAAGGTTTCAGTTGCCAGGGCGTGTGACAAACCCAGGCACACACACACACACACACACACACACACACACACACACCACACACAAACACACTACATACATGCGCACACAGCACAATACAAAGGTCCTTTCTGTGGCCGTTTAATGACATCCATCCCCTGCTCTATTCTGGGAGCTGACTATTCTGGTGCATCATTATTGTCATTAGCACAGTCTCATATCATTAAACCATTAACAGACATTATCACCATTATACACAGGGTTACACACATCATGTCTCACCAACAAAACACTGAATTCCTCGCACCTGTGTTGTGTGTGTGTGTGTGTGTGTGTGTGTGTGTGTGTGTGTGTGTGTGTGTGAGCGTGTGTGTGTGTGGAGGGAGGACGTGCCGTTGTCCCAGTCACGATGTTGTCAAAGTGACCTTGGCAGAGGGACACGGTTGGATAGTTACTATAAACCTCATCCTGATCTGTAAACACTCTTCATCCTCTTTGACAGGAAACAAGCTGACTTGGAACTTCCCAGGGTGCACTGCTGTTCTTTATTAAGTCTGACAGTGAAGATGTTCTTTCATTACCCCAAAATGTTGCAGAGATTTTAACAAACGAAAAGCTGACAGAATGAGGTGAAGTGTGAAAGATCAACTCAGTCCATGTCTTTGAACTGAGCTAATTGTTGCATATCAAGGCAGGGCTCCATCTTTAAATGTCCACAGGGAAAACCCTGTGAAATACTTTGGAAAGACCTTTAATCTCTGCATTTAATTCATACAGTTGGTGTCCTTGTACTTCTTAAAGCCTTCATTGTGGTTATGAAAAATACTCAAGATTTTCTTGTGATATTTTTTAAAAGGTCTCACATTATCTGAATGTTCTGTCAATTAGTTTATTTCCCTGGGACTTACCCATTAGAGCTTTTTTTTGCTGGACACCAAACAAGCACACAATTCATTATCATCCCAGTTGTAATACGGCAAATCAGCGTACTATGATCCTAAGTCAAACAAGGCAAAAGTAACAAAAACATTCTTTCATGTGTCAAACCAGTAAGAACTCCAGAATTGTTCAGTTTCTTTGTATTAAATCTAAATCAACACTTCATCACAATGTCACACAAGCTTCACTTTTACACCAAAATAAAAATTTAACATTCAGTGCTTCAATTTACACTTTTTCCAACAAATGCTTCCTTAGATATTTGATCTTGAAAAAAGTTTAATAACCTTTGGGTTGAACAAAGCTCAGTCACACAGCACAACATCTGGTGTGTCAACTGACCAGCCACTTGATGCTTGAAAGTTCAAGAAAAATGCCCCAGGTTTTATTTACTGAAAAAAAGAAACGAAGAACCTTTGACATCACACACATCAGCGTTAACTTGGCACCATCTCAAGTCATGTTGGGCTTGTCTTTGTCCTGGTGTCCTTGATGTATGGGAAGAAGAGATTCATAAATAAATAACTTAAAGGTGCACTATGGAGTTTTGGTAGAGATATGTGAAAGTTGGAGAAAGGTACAGATTCTGTGGGTTATGTTCATATCTCTATAAAAACACCACCTCAGAGGAAGATGTGGTCCATGTAACACTGTTTGAAGATAAAACGCTACATGGGAAGTTATGGTGGTGGACCCGCAACTGTGAAACTGTAACTCTGCTGGAAGCTTTTTAGCTCCAAACAGTGTTCCAGGGACCCATTTTTTCCTTTGAATAAAGTTTGTGTATTTAGTTCAGAAAATATAGCACAGAATTGTTTCACTTCTCCAACTTTCAAATTTCTCATTTTGAAAAAAATATGCTAACGACCTGTCCCTGAAATAAATCATGAGCAGATGAAGCTAAAACTGTTTTAATCTGAAACTTAAGGTGAAGAAAACAGAACACATTTTTTGGGAACTAATCTCAGCAAAGACTTGTAAAGTCCTTTCAAAGGCTAAGCCAGCTTGAAGATAAGGAATTTGGGAGAGATTCTGCAAATCATTCCTCAACAGACACCCCAGATTGGGTACGTCTGCAGAGAAAGGTCTACTTGAAATCAGTTAATTTGCTGACACCTGGAAGACTAAAAGTTTTTTTAAAAGCTTGACTTTTCGTCAAAGGGTGTGGTCCTGGCCGGGGGGGTTGAAGAGTGATGTTTTGGCAATTTGCCTAAAAAACAATTGGTGTAACTCTCATAAACGTTTGATTGCCTTCTATTTTTTTTTTTTTACATACATAGCAGTCCCAAATGCTTTATCTCTCATATACAATGTTCAATCTTCCGGTCACCTCCTCAACATTACTCCCACAACTCCCCCTGCTAACAGGAAATGGTTTAAAGCTTATCAGCTCAGTGATGGAGTCCTTGTGGTCGGCGATATAAACCATATCTGGCCACAAAGACTCCACACTGAACTGATAAGGGATCAGGAGTGGGTGTATGATCACTCATTCCCCCCACTGCCTAGTCCACCCTGCAGTAACCACACCATCAGCAACCCCTGTTTGCGACACCTCTCAACCTCAACCCGTCTCCACCCGTCTCCCCAGAACCCCCCTGGACTTTCACTGCTCCTCCTACCGAGAGCCCCATCCCCACATACCCCACATCCTGCTCCAACCCTGTCTCTTTCAACTGGCCAAATGAAGAGAGAACGGAGAAGGCTTTAGGTCAGAAAGGCAAAAGGTCAGAACATTGACATTGTGGGCATGAGTGGTTTTCACCTGAACTAAAAACTGGACGAAAATGCACAATAAAAGAAACTAGACTCAACCTGTTAAGGAGACTCTTTTGAAGTGCAGGGAGTGCTGCTGAGGACCTTTTACGACTCTGTATTTGCATCATCCATACTTTATGGAGTGGTTTGCTGGAGCAGCAGAGTCATGGTTGCAGAAGAGACTCAACAGAAGAAGAAGAAGAAGAAGAAGAAGAAGAAGAAGAAGAAGAAGAAGAAGAAGGCTAGCTCGGTTGCCCTCTTAGTCCTCTAATTGTTGGGAGACAGGAGGATGATACCTAAGCTTTCATCTCTCATGGCGATCATTTTACCACATTTTCATGGCACAGTAACAGTACCTAGTGATTAAGGGCTGTAAGAGTACAAACAACACTCCTCAACAATACTTAAAGGGGACATATTGCGAAAAAAAACACTTAAACAGAGTTTTTGAACATATATTTGGATAACCTGAGTGTCTACTGACCCACAAAATGTGAAATAAACCCATCCTTTGTTTGTGGTCTGCATAAGTCTTACAACACAGAGAAAAATGCTCTGTTTCAAATTTCCTCTCATTGTGATGTCACAGTGGGATTCTGGTAAAAAAAAAATCCCCTCCCCTCCCCTGGTATCTCCACCCATGGACTCCACCCCCAGCCTAGAGCAAATCTTTTGCGCAGGTCCGCCATTTTTATTCTCTCTACAGAGGAGTGATGTCTACCAGGAAAACTCAGGGGGGCTCATTGAATTGAAAGAGACACACACACCAAAACGGAGCGTTCTGAGAGAGCTGGTTTATACAGGGTCACAAAGCTCCTCTGGTGCTTGATTCATGTTATATTTTGACCAAAGCACAGCACAGATGTTTCAATTAGACCACAGGGGACTGTTTGAAAAGGTGGAGAAGAAGTTTAATATATCCTTTTTTAAATTTACATTGTGTTGTTTGATGTTATTATCCATCGTTTAAATGCACGATTACTGCATGTCTGCCTCTGCCACCTAGCGGCCATAGAAAGTCATATGTAACTCCTTTTTATTTGCAATTCAAATAACAATTTGTGTGTGTGTTGACCGAGATACACACCACGGTTGCAACATACCCTGACATGTGCAAAGATATGACGGCCTGTCATATCTTTGCTACTTTCTTTGGTTAGCGGATTTTGTAGCTGGAGTCCTGAACTAAAGGGATTCAATACAGGAGAGAGAAGTATTTTTATTCATTACACACATTCATGTATTTTCACGCACGCACACACACACACACACACACAGTTAAATACAATGGTACTACCCTGCAGTTGTTGAT